GCGCTGGCCCCTGGCAAGAAGAACCGCTACCGCCCAGCACCCTGATCCTGCTCGCTACCACGCGGGCCGGCCCTCAGCACCTCCGAGTTGCGGCCTCCATCTTGGGATAAACCAGTGCCCAACGGGAAGGGGGGGAAAGGTGATAGGCTGCCAGGTCGAGCAGGGCCTTTTCTTACCCAGTAACAAAACAATGAGGATTTCCTCAAACTGAAGTAGTATTTTAATAAAAAAGAAGCTCCGTGAACTCAAGCACGGTACTTTCTTCAATCCTCTAGAGGCATATTTTCTCACTCCCCCCAAAAACTGGTGGAGAATGGTACCACCCTCAGCGGGCCTTATTGGCAGCACGCTTTGCCGTGGAGCAACGCGTGCGCAGAGGCCGAGCTGTCACTCGCGGGGCGGGAGGCGGGGCTTAGGGAGCGGCGTCGGCTGAGCTGCGCGGGGCTGTGGCAGTGGCAGTGGCAGTGGCAGTGGCAGTGGCTGTGGCAGTGGCTGTGGCTGTGGCTGTGGCTGTGGCAGTGGCAGTGGCAGTGGCAGTGGCAGCGGCAGTGGCCGTGGCAGTGGCCGTGGCTGTGGCCGTGGCAGTGGCCGTGGCAGTGGCCGTGGCAGTGGCCGTGGCTGTGGCCGTGGCAGTGGCTGTGGCAGTGGCTGTGGCTGTGGCAGTGGCCGTGGCTGTGGCCGTGGCAGTGGCTGTGGCAGTGGCTGTGGCTGTGGCAGTGGCCGTGGCAGTGGCTGTGGCCGTGGCAGCGCGCAGAGGTGCGGTAGGTGCTGCGGCAGGAGGGCGCGCCGCGGGACGGGTCCCCAGGCTTGAGCGGCGCGCCTCTGCGGTGCAGGCGAAGGAGGCGAGAGGAGGTTATGTGACAGGCGTTAGTCGTGTCACTCCACCGAGTGCTCAGCGCGGCTATGAAACGCAATAAACTTCATGTATAAAGAAACCGTGTGAGACAGGTTCTTCAACTACCTGTGCCACAGGGCACACACACCTTTGCAGTTTGGCTCTGCACGAGCTCATTTCCAAGCTGAGTTTGAAAGCTTATGTGTAAATAATATGTATTCGCGTCAACCGTGTTTTGACATATATAAGTTCCTATTTCTTGTGCTATGACACTGTAGCTGTATAAATTACGCCTATGCCATGCAGCATGCCTGTGCACAAACACACAGGCGCACACATACACACTCTCTGCTAAGGAAAAGGAAAGCATGCTTAATATTTTAGGAGCAGGATGTAAAACTGTTTCGTTGCATTTCAAAAAGCAAGTGTAAAACACAGGGGGAGCAGCTTCATCTATGTGCATATAGGCAATTAAATCTGTGACAACTATGGAAAGGCTGTTCCTGAAAATTAAGAAAGAATTATCCACATCTGGTGTGTGTATACGTAAACAGCTGTATGTATATGTATGCCATAAAATACTAGCTTTAATCATATTTGAGTGGATTTCATTGTTTTTCAGTAGATGTCACTAAAGTTCCAAAAGAGCCTAGATTTTCAGTCTTCTGTTTGAAATCTTACATCTTTACAATCCAGTTTCATCACATCACTCTTAATGGAAACGACTTCTGTACTCAGAGTAATTAAATTACCTCTGAGTAGATTTGTATAAAGGTTAGACCTTCCTTTCCTCTTGCTTCCTAACAGTACAAGGTGAGGTCTTGCTGGTGTCATCCACCTGAAGGTTGTACTGGTACTGGAAGGTTAGCAACCCTTTGACTGCATGCTGTGAATGGGGTTTTCAGGACTGCCCCTGACAGGAGCAGCAGGGACAGATGGAATAGCAGATCTAGCTTTTCATAAAGTAGCCGAGAGTGGAATCATCCAACTGTTAAAGATACATTTATCTGTAGGGAAACAAAGATTACTCACTGCTTCCAGGTTCCTGAGGTAGCTCTTGACACCCATAAAAGTGCCAAGTACTTGTACGCAGATTTGGTAACAGGATTATAACTGGCAATCCCCTAAACGTGATGACCCCCTAACAGTGGCAGTACTGTCATTCCTTATACACTAAATCTGGTCTAGGAGCATCATACCTGTCTGGAAGTGGGAAAAAGTTTACTCTCAGCTCTGCTGCTAACTGTCTCATATGTGTAAGTTGAATTTGCTTCTTTCGTTTTTTAAGTCTCAAGGTTTTCCGTCTTGCTTTAATTCATATTCCCCACCTGTATTTCCTGTTTAGATTCTAATTGTTTAGCGAGAAGGATCTATATGTTCACACTGTAATTAAAAAAACAGGCTCCCTTATCACAGAAGACTGATAGTATATGCCAACAGTAATACATGTGGAGATTAGTTTTAAAATAGAGGGATTAGCAATAATAAGCATCATATTAATGGCTGAACACAATGATCTTAAAAGTCTTTTCGAACCTATGACTCTATTGCCTCCTTTGTTAACAATTAAGGGATCTCATCTTTTTCCAACTCCTTTACAACACATAAAAATATTGAAATTTAGTATCACATGTATGTGAAATGTGTATGAGAGAATGTCTCGGAGAATTCACTTAAGCTTTTGATTTCATCTAAGCCTTACAAGGCCATCCATCCCACAGTACTCTTCCATTGTGTTCTCTACTGAGACACTTTTCAGTTTAAACTCAGTGAAGAGCATCTACAGAGACTGAGGGGAAAAGTGTTCAGGTTTCTAACCACTTCTTTAGTGCTTATGGAAGAAGAATGGTCAATATTGGAATGGTCTCACTGTCAAGGCAGCCACTTGAAAAATAATATTCTTGGAAGCATGCTTTTGCCTTAACATAATCAACATCTTGCCTTCCATGTGAGGAAACTTATGCTAATAATTTTCTCTTAGTTCTTGCAAAGCAGAAGTTATCATCAGTCACTTTGCAATATGAAAAGGCTGGCAGACATACAGCAGACTAGGTTGAACACTCAGCCATGAAACATCAGTTTTGTCCGTGTGCAGGAGGTGTAATTCTTGCACAGATCTGCTGTCAATGAAACCTAAAGTAGTGAAAACCACTTCTTGCTAATAAAAAATAAAATTGGGGACTGGAAGCATGAATTAGGTCTCTGAAGCACTGAGCAGGACCGCTAACTTTATATTTTTAAAGTAACTATCACCTCATTGAACATACCTCTGCATGAATATACCACCCACAAGAGAGCTACCAGGTACTCTTGAAGGACTCTCAAAATTGAAAGGAGTTTCAGGAGACTTCCTTCATCTCATTTCCATGCAGAGAGACTTGTAATTTGGTCTCTGGAGGCCTTTTTCCAGTAAGTAGCAGCTGCCTGAAGTTAACTCTGTTGTACACACACATGTTTTTGCTAGAGATTCGAGAACAAAATGTTTTCTGTAAAGGTTTTCTAAACAATTTTATTGAGGTAATTTTCTTCATTTTATATTTATATATATATCCATTCATATAGACCTATAATTCAAAGAGCCAAACACTTGTCTAAGGCACTTGGACCTGTGCACAGCAGAGTATCCTACAGTACTGTACAACTAGGCAACACACATCTTTTTTGGTTGTTAAACAAAACCACCATAAACCAAGCATAATACATGTACTGTATAAAAAAGATAATACATATTCTATTTTTCAGATTACAATATTGGAATATATTTGAGTCTGTGTATATATATAATTATACACTACAGTACAGATAAAACACCAAGAAGCAGCTATCGATTTGTAAGAACTCCAGTTACTTATATTCACAGATATCAATACACCTGTGTAAAATGCAGTATCAGATCAGCCACTTCTTTGTAGTTATCATATTCAATCACACTAAGTCAAGCCGCCAAAATACAAGTAAATGCATTCACTTTATAACTGTTACAGAAAATGCACACTGCATAAGCTGAAAAGTTATTGGCATTGATTCTCCACAGCCTCAGATGTTTTGAAAGTCATTAAACACATGGAAAGTACATTTTAAAATGTCAGCAATTCTAAGCTGATAATGTTTCAGACACATTTTTATAGTTACCAGTAACTATACAGTATGACGGACAAGTGGGGAACCAAGTCTGGAATTTTGTTTGCCTTATTTTACTTGTAAATAGGAACATGTAGTGAAATTCAAGCAAGTTACATTGAGCATAATTTGTTTCTCTTTTCTAGCAAATTAGTAGAAACAATGAAGTCTAAGAACTGTCCCAGTGCCTATTTATAAGTGACACTCTCCATTATGTGCTGCAAAACTTTAATTGCAAGAAATTCATGTGAAAATTTAATTTCAGGGGACTGTGGCCTGCTTACAGTATATTCAGCACCTAAGAACCTTTTGGCTTTATTGGGCCCTAGAAAGGCCCTGCTGGAGCCTAACCACCTGCACTGGTGTGGGTGGGTTATCAGTCCTTCCTAGAGTCATCTCTCAGTGGTGTCCTTGCAGACTTGATTGAAAAAGGCACATGTGCAAGAATTGCTACTACTGAGTAGTACCTTCCCCGGTGCATTGCAGCTCTGAAGAGAGATACACATTCTTGAATGCCCAGTGTTTAAGGTACAGTTGGGTCTACAATGCATGACATACTAATACTGCTGTGATTTACTATTTGAGCAATTGCTTCATAAAATGATGGGAAAGGATGCAAACTTACTAGCTCTTGAGGTACAGCAATATAATCTGCAATGTTCTTGCACCTATCCTAGATTTTCATTTAGGGGCAAATAGAATTCTATTTCTCTTTCAGGGAGGAATAAAAAAAAAAAAAAGGAAATCTTATGAGTTATTTGAACATTTAAATGCAATTTTTTATTAGGAAGAAATTTTTTACTGTGTGCAAGGCTGGGTTAGATGGGGCTTTAAGCAACCTGGTCTAGTGGAAGGTGTCCCTGCCGATGGCAGGGGGTTTGGAACAAGATGATCTTTAAGGTCACTTTCATCCCAAACCATTATGTGATTCTATGAATTAGCATGTGCCATCTCCACACCCTTCCCACCCCTGCTCATATAGTTTGATGCCCATTCAAACAAGCCATTGATATCTTTCTGTTCCAAATCACACCAGCTAAAATAATTGTCCAAAACACAGTATTTGTTTAATTCCAAAATTTATACAAGTTTACAAATCAATATACCACCACACAAAGTAGTGAAAGGAAAATATGTTCAGCAACATTTTACTATATTATAACAAGGTTCAAATATGGTTAAATTTGACATAGTATTGCAAGACTTTATATTTTAATATAAAGATTTAATGATTGAACAAGGAAATACAGCGAATACCATTACTTTCTTTGTTCCTACCCAATGCAATATTTAGCTTCTAGAAAATAATGAAATAGTGGTGAAATGGTGTATCTAGTTCACATGAGCTCTATTTCCATTAAAATCCTGAAACAACATGGGAGCACTGACAAAGTGAAACAAGATCTTATTAATCATTAAAGTTAATAAATGGAAACCTGTCAAAACATTACAGTGAAATATGTTGTTTTTACTCAATTTCTCCCTTTCTCTATATAGATACGCTTTCGTAATTTTTTTCCAGGTGTCTTAAACAGAAGCTTTAAGCTATTCTGGGGAATTTACTTTTCTTTTGATTCTCAAAATATTTTAACATCAAACTAATACAAACCTTCAGAATTGCTTTTTTGTTCATCAAAAGCTAGGTCCCAGCAATGAGCATTGCTCTGAGAGTGCAATTCATTGTACAGTAAGAATTAAGATAGTAACAATAATGGAGCTAAATGTGGAGCTCCTAAAGGCAGGAAGCAAGTTTATTCTGTGTTTCACCCTGAGTATGTCTTTATTTTAGTTTATAGCAGTGGCACAGGTCTTAACTCCTAGAGATATGAATAAAAATAGACGACATGAAAGCATTGAAAGACACAGTTCTGGCATACCTAACAATTTAATGCAAATGTAGTCTTTTAGCATGGTTTACTTTATCATTAAAGCATTAACAGCATTAAGATAGAAGCTTATATTCTAGTCCCTAAGGATGCCAGCAGTGCTCAGACAGACCTGTCCTAATGATGCAGTCTGCCAGGTACCCAGATGACAGCGTGGCTCTCACTACCCTGGCTCCAACCTACTGCTAGCTGCAGCTGATGAGGGGATTTCGGTTGATCCCCAGGCCGCCAGACTAGGTAAGACATTTTTAGCCCTTGCTGGCTGGATCTTCCTCCCATTTTATGATATAAAATCGTGGCTCAGACTGTATTTATACTCAGGTTAGTGGCAGCTATTTTGAAACAATTTCTCTGATGTCTGTGTCACAGACATGGATTGAAGCATCTCCACTGGAAACAATGTGCTAATCCCACCTGGAAGGAGGGGACAAATTTCTGTAATTTCAGAGATATTTTCATCCCTTCCTTTCACAGTTTTCATTTGGTTTTCAATGAAAAAGGAAGAAAAGTGTTCATCTGATATGGTTTTTACATGTCAGCACTGAGGTTGTGGTGCTTCTCAAAGCACTAGCTGTCCAGTGTGGACAAAGCAGTAGCTGGTGCTGCCCTGGCCCACACCACATGAGAAATCAGTAAAGTCCACTACAGCAAGGGACATGCACAACTGTAGGCAAATGTTAAACTCAACAAATAAATATACTCTTGTAAACCTACAAATGTCTGTGAATACTTTCAGGGATTTTGAAGAGACACTGCTGCTGGTCCTACCTTTATCCAAATCACCAGCTGAAATGGTATTTAGCTTAAATAATCATTAGCATTTAAATAATTAATTTTGGTACTTGTTGAATCAACACATATATTACAATTGGAAGGAATTCTGATAGCTTATTTTTCATTTGAAACAACTAAATTCAGATATAAGAACTGATTTATATTGCCTGAAAGAAGAGAGAGATGAGAGACATTCTAGAACCATTTCAATTTATTATGTGAAGAAGAAATCAGGATTTGTAAGCATCCACTTTTCTGCACTCACAGCAACATGCTGTCATGTGTGATCCTACCTACAAAAATCTCATCTGTGAGGTCGTTTCAGCACTACTACTTCAAGCTAGTAATTTTCTCTTTGTGTGGATGTAAACATCTGAGCTCATACCTGACTCTGTGGAACACAGGTCTGCATGTAAGGTTTGTCGTATGTTGTGGATGACATTTAAATGATTTGTCCAACTTGATAAAAATTGACACAGTGATCCCTTTAGACAACTGGGCTGTGCTATACATTGCATGGAAATTGTTATTTTTTAATTTGCCTTTTTTTACGTCTTTTTATTTTTATCCTCAAGGATTACTTACTCAGGAGTTTCTCAGGACTTGTCCTGATTTTTCCCTTCTAACAGGCATGCAGCACCACAGACAGGTACATGACATATTATTTCCAACAGGCTGTTGTAGCAGCTTGAAGACATTCAAAATCATGAATACAAAGGACTGGGAGATACAGCAGAAACCGACTTTAGGCAGCTCAGTAAGGTAAAGCAAACTCACTTTACTGCACATAGTAACATATCAAAATCTTGTTATTTTTTATTGCATGGATTACTTTCTACAGCTGTTGTTTTTCTGACAGTTGATACTTAGAATATAAAAATAGTATATACAATTCTATGTCTGTGTGTGGGTACAGTACACAATAGATATTCTAATTCTGCAAGTATACTATGTTTTTACATAAGTTCCAATGAAGAAAACTTTTTGTCCAGTTACATAAATTTGGCTAAGTAGTTTGCTGACTTGTGGACCAAAATCATCAAAATAATAAGAAATTACATTAGAAACTAAAGATTAGAAACTAAAACAGCATCTTTATCCAGGATAGTATTCTGCCTCTAGCAATGGCTTGTAGTGAATACTTTAATAAAAACCCAGACCCTGAAGGAGGATAGGGAAAGCCTTAGTAATAGCTCACCTATGTATATCCTCATGTCTTACGGCAAAACACAGCTTGAGGAAGTCTGAGCCAGAAGTTGTATCCTCATCTTTGCGGTTTAACTGTTAAAACACAGAGAAGGTGGCATGTCTTTCCATCCATGCTCCACGCCTACAACAGAGGAATGTCTTCTTGCAAAGTCAATTCATTCACTCCATTCTAAGAATTTAGCAAGTTTTGGTTTGCTTGTGTAACCTGTATGTACTCTGGCATGTCAGTGGAGCTACTGTATAGTTTATATAGTCTGACTTTACATTTGTCCAAGTTATTCTGCCTGTGCAACAGCTATCCTTCTGCCTTTAGCATCACGCCTGCTTTCAAATGCTCCAAAGTGATTAAGGCAACACTGAGGTCTATTTAATTCCTCCACTTGTTTCCTTTGAAGTGAAATGCTGTGGTTTATACTTCAAAGTCAATACAATAGACCTTTATAGGATTTTGGACACACATTTCTAAATTTGGCAACAACAACAACAAAGTTTAAGCAGGAGAAATGTTTATGATGTGCTAGTGTTAAGTTTTAAGTTTACTCTTCAAATCCTAAAAGTAAAAATTAGGATTCTACCAGAACTGCTGACAAACCTTCACTCTAGTGGCCTGATCATTCCTGTATGATTTAGTGCCAAAGAATACATTTCACTGCTTCCTTGATGTCAAAGTGGTGTTTCTATATTTATAAAATCATGGGACCCACAGAAACTAAACTGTTTTCTGCAAATGGAATCCTAATGGCTTTTATTGATTCCTTTAAAAAAGGGAAGGTGGTGCTTCCTTTTCTTTGCTACAAGCACGTAGATGGTTATTTTATTTGGTTATTGATATTTTGGGGTCTGAACATCACCAGACTTTTACTAAAATGTATGCAATCCTAGGAGTCATATAAATACAGATTTTTAAAAAAGAAAAGTTTGTCAATCTCTAAAAATAATAGAGTGACAGCTCCTGTTATTAGAAGTGCTCTTTACTAAAATAATCCACCCCATTTATACAAAGCTGGTCCTCTTGTAATATCAGTAAAGGGGGAGATCTAATTTTAGCCACCAACTTGCCTTCCTGCCTTTAAGCTGACATCTAAAACAACAATCTGCAATTTTATAAACTGAAAACATTCCACAAGAATCTACTGCAGGTTCTGAGGTAAAAATCACATCTACACAGACCTTTTATTGCCTGAAAAAGAAATACTTACACTTCAAAATTAAAAACTAGAAGGGCACATAAAAGACAAAAATAATTTGTAATATGTACACACATTAGAAAGGATAAATAGGAAATATATTGTAATACTGCATTAAATGTATGCATAAGTGAATTCCAGAGCCCCCCCAAATGTTGTGTACATTAATTCAAAGGATAAATAAGTGCTAATATAAGATAGAGAATTTCTTAGTGTAAACAATGCCACAGGCTTTTTAATAGGCCTTTGGGCCAACTTAGAGAAACCATGTATTGCCTTTCACACTTCATACCACTTCATTTTAATAGTACTGTATTCACATGTACAATTTCAAGACAGTATAAAAAATTATGAATCTAAGAAGCAATCTTCACACTCAACAAAACAGGCTGCAGACACTCTAAGAAATTTCCATTCACTTTTACAGGACCACTGGCTGAAGACATATTTATTCATCTGGGAGTTCTTCCTCAAAGCAGTGCAAGAGTCCTTGAATGTAAAAAGTCCCATTAGTAATCATTGCTCAAGCCTACTAGTAAAGACTTCTGTGCCTAATTTAAATTCTGATTTTGAATTCACTCTAGCATGATGTCAAAGTTGTCTCCACTGCCTGCCATGGGTGAGAAAGATGATGATCCCTCTGGTTTGAATAGCAAGTGACAGACAGTAAGGAGTGTTTCTAAACATGAAGCATTTCGTTGCATTCATAGTGTCACGTTATTTGTCCTTCAAATCCTGTTTATGTATTTCTGAGTATCAGGAGTATGTCAACATTAAAACCCCCAAAATATATAACTTGTTCTGTATGAATGTTCAGTGTATTTTCTTGAAGCATGCTCACTGGGATTTTAAAAAAGACAGCTGTGTTATACTAGGACTAATTTCTGGCAACTGTGTTTACTGGCACCAGAGAAAATTACAGTTCTTCACTAAAGTACTGATGACATGAGGACTTGTGGCTTGCTGTCTTTCTAAGACAGGCTGTGGCCACTAGAAAAAATACATGCACAGTTGCTCACACTCTCAGTTTCTTTTAAAAAATAGTTTCTCCCACTGGCCAAGCGCATTGTTGAGCAGTCCCATCTGTTCCACTCTTGTCTGTGGATCAACAAGTGAAGTCTCTCTTCTCCCACGCCCTCAGTCCTTTTCACACTCAGTTAACCTCATTCACAACCCTATGAAGTCTGATGAGTTCCTGGTGACAGGCTCTCAAGCGATTGTCTTCAGCACTTCCTGACTTGTGGAGCTCGGATGAAGAAGTCCACTGACTGATCTGTGTGAGATAGCCACAGAACCATGGTCTGTCTTAACGCTGACAAACACTTCATGTGGGTTCTCCTCCTAGACAAAGTGTTTGTCCATTGATAAAGATGAGGGCCACATCCTTCATTAACCTCAGGGTAAGCTGTAGCACACACTCATACTCGGTCAAATTCCAGTGCAATCTCAGGTCTTCAGGACTTCATGATTTCCCCAAAGAAAATTGTTGCATGAAATAGAGGATGTGGTCAAACAGTTATGGACGATGAAACCTGAAATGATAAATCATTAAGAAACTTAGAATTACATTACAATGACACTGATCCTCATCCTGCTCTGACAGCTGTTTATATTTGTTGCCTGAATAGAATTATTCCTGATTTTCCTGGTCTGTGTGGGATCAGTCAGCCCTATTATTCCCCACTGTCTGTCTCTACTAGAAAACCAAACAGGGCTACAGTGTATCTCAAGCACTGGTGTCCATCTGTTTGTCCATACCCTTAACCTGTTACTGTGGTCCCTGGCACAGTTTTGCTCGCATCAGCCAGTACTCTTCAGATACCACTTGGGCATGGCTGATATTAGCAGACAGATTTTGTATAGAGGGACACTGCCCTGTTTTGGGGTGGGAGGAAGAGGTTAACTGCATGAATTTAAGCTCTGCCAAGGCTGCTGGCCTCAGCGCAAGAGAACAGCTTCCTGGCTGTTTTGTTTGCCAGTACAGATTTAGCTGCAATTGCACCAACTATTTGGACACTGTCGGTAAATTTAAGCCACAAAGCTTAAATTTCTTGGTTTTAATCCTTCTGCAAAATGAGGCTAAAAAAAAGTCTGGATTTTTTTAAGAAAGCAGCAAATTTTTCAGCACTGCAGATGCTTTCATCCTATTAAGAGCAGCCAACTGTGACACAAGAAGGCCCAAAGACACCTCACTAGTTTTTATACTTTTAGGTAGGGTATGTACATCACTCCAGATTGTCTGTATGATGGACAGAGAGGTGGGTTGCTCCAAAGGGTGTTACCAACCTTTTCTATAATAAGTTAGCAACCTACAGTAATTGAAACTCTAACTCAGCATAAATGTCATGAATCCAGGCAAAAAGGTAATAAGGACACCAATATCACATGCTCAGCAAATCTATCACCAGATTTCTAAATGCCTGTTTAAAAGGCTTAAAAAAAAAATCTATCTATCTAATCGATCTATCCATCCATCCATGAAGTAGTAAAAGATGCAGCAGCTTTAAAAAAAGCATAGGTAATGATGCACCTAATACAGTAGATTTATTTAAGTGTTTGTTTGACACATTTTCTCTTCAGTTCCAGAGAAGAGAAAGGCAAACAAGCCACACATTCCCCCTGTAATGTGGCACAGTACAATACAGGGATGTCTTTCTCAAATAAAGGAGGTGTACACAAGAGCTGACATTCACAAAGATGCAGCTCATCTGCTAAGTGAGGGCACAGTGCACTGCAAAAAGGACACCAGGTTTTTGGATTTGTGTAGAACAATGATATATTGGACTATATATAGCATTTTCATTAGAAGCACTTTACAAACATCTGCTAATATCCTCTTCCCAAACATTTATTTATTTCTCTATTTTTAGGAGCTCAGTTTCTTGGATTCTGTTATAAAATAACAGAAGGAATTAGTCTAAATTACTAGGAGTAGAAAAAAAACAGTTCAACTGACAGTCATTACAGAAAGTGATGAACAACGAAAACCAGGGTTTTTCCTTTCCCAAGCTTAATAGCAAAATTTAATGATACAAAGATATTGTAAATACTGACTATAACATTAAAACACCTTGCACTGAATATGTAATAATATAAGAAACTATATGCTATAAGCTATTTTTGTTTAATATGTAGCTCCCTTGTTGTCTCACTCTATCACAAACCTACACAAATAAGCATTTGTTAACCAGCCAGGTAACCAGCTGCCAACACAAGCTGCCTTTTGGTTTGTATTCTCTCAGTGATCTCCTTGAAAAAAAATTAAAAGATGAACAATTCATTCTCTAGCTGGAAGCTTTTGTCTATGGGTTTCTTAAAACAAATCAGTTTTATTGTATCAATGCAAATGCAGTGGTGAACTACGTTAATTTTTAATGAGAGGTCCCAGAGGAAATGGAATCTCTTTTTATTTTCAAAATTGCAATTGAGTTTAAACATCTGCATCTAATTCTGCTCTTAAGTGGCTTTTCTAGTGCTATTCTGCTGACTTCTGTGCAGTGGCTCCACAACATGACCACTGAAAATCCAAGAAAAAAGGAGGGTGATGAGGGAGCAGAGAGAGCCTGATTTCCCTCAGGTCCCTATAGAAGCATTGCCTGTATTTATCACAATTTGGCTATTTGTTATTCCATTTTCCAAGACCCTCCTCAAAACAAATCATTTACTTCTTAATTGGCTTTTCCCTCCACTGGACCCCTGAGATTTTTGGTTCACCTTTAAGAATCCAATTGTAACCAGTCTCAATTGTTTTCAATTCTCCTGAAGAAAAACCCAATTCTTTTTTTGTATGACTCATGCCTATCTGTATTTACACTTCTGTGTTGCAATGCAACACAAAAAACGTAACAACATAAGCAGGAGGTCACACTCCATCTCTCTCAGCGCACGGCCAGGTTTCTGTTCCTGCTCATTTTCCTTCTCTCCCTCAGGATGACCATTTTTTTAAAGTGACATTTTTATATATTCTAAAGAAGATATACTACCTACTGGCTGAAGAGAAAAAGACATCAGAAGCCAAATGAAAATATACATATCTGTGTCTGAAGAAGACATTTCCTAATGGTCAGAATGCAACAGTAGATTGAAACCATGCCTCCCAGTTCATCTCCTGGCTTAGGGTTGCTGTTTGTGGAACTGGTTTGATTTTTTGAAAATTAATTTTCTTGTGTTATATCTACACTTCAGTGACTTTACAGTAGTATTAAAAACAAAAATAATCATGTTTGGTGAGAAAAAACCAGTGAAGTTATGAAATCAAGCAATGAACTACGTGATGGCAGAAATCACCAAACACATCTCCCACTGTGAATTTTGCTTGTGACACTCTTTCATGAGCAAGGGAGTACTACTAGAGAAGAACAGCCCTTACTTCATGCTTGAGGACTGTTAACTTCATCTGCAAGAAATGCCTCTCAAAGGATTGTTTTTTAGATTTCCCAAATGATCTTTTTCAATGAAGTAACTGATCCATTGCAGTCACCTTCACTACTGTATCAGTTTAGATTCTGAGATGGCACCAGCAACAACAGGAATCCCAACAGAATCAGTGATGGGATTCAGGTGGGAGTCAAGGGGACTTATGGTAGGAATCTACACAAGTCATGACACAACTGCAGAGGACTTGCAGAAAGGCAGAGGGTCACTGTCATCTCCCCAGTTTATGCAAGAAGAGGGATTTACCTACCTGGTAAATTGCCGACTTTCCTCATGTACTTCCATTTCTGTGCTTTTGAATTCATTCAGTTCTTTCCGTATGGCTGCCTAATAAGCAATAAGACTAATAAGACTTTTTCAATTGCAGTTATATGGAGCAGTAATACACTACAAAGAAACAGTGCCAACAAAGAAACACCAAGTCTACTGCAATGGGTGAATCGACCTCCTGCTGAAATGTGGCACTTGCTACAGACAAAAATGGGCACAGGATTGGATTACCTGGACAACCAACTGCTGAGTATGCAGCCAGATGGGATCCAGGCACAGCTCTTGAGGAGCTGGTGTGTCTCACTGCCTTCACAGGCACTGTACACACAGCAGGGGCCTCCTATCTCCCTGCTGAAGAAAGGACTTCAGGAATGCAAGATGAGTAGCATTTCTTTAAGTGAAATTAGTCACTTGTCTTGATTAGTTTTATGCAAAATGATGTAAAATCTTTGGACATTTCAGGCTTGCATTTTCAGTTGGCAGATTCTAATGAAGCAGAAATCCAGCACACTTTATAAATGCCTTGTTTTTTATGTTAATAAAGTGATAAGCGGCTTACTTCATCAAGTGTTGAACATAATTTCTGAAATATTCTAATATATACTACAAGGGCTCTGTGTCTATGCCATAAGTTTTCTTACCTTCACTGTGGAATGGAACAACAGTTTATCTTACTCACTCTTTTCTTTCACCATTTTAAATAAAAGCAGTATCATTTCATTAATCCCTAAAGAAATCTCATCTGGTGTGCATGCCTTTCAGCACAGAACAGGCAAGCAGCATGATAAAATTACAGCATCACCAGACTGTGGTCTCATAAATGAGAAACTTCATTTTGAGGAGGGGGTGGTTCTGTTTAGCCACAATAGGATTCTTACATGAAACTGCTGTAACAGCTAGGAAAGTAACAGCTATTTCTGAGCACCAAGTGAGCAGCAAAGACACCAGAGCTCCAGCTCCCTGACATAGTTACAGTACAATTTTCTGCTCCCACTGGAATTAGAAAAATGACTTCCCTGGGAAAAAGGGCAAAGGACTTTCCAGGCAACCTGAGGTCTGCGTTTCTGCACAGGCCAACAAACGTGGGGCTCACAGAACCAGCCTTGGGCACTTGTTCATTACAAAATGAATTAAGATTAAAAGCTCCTACCCTGAAGTAGGCATGAAACACCACTGCTTCTTCTAGCGCAGTTTACTCTGGTTAAACCTAGGTAAACCTGAGTGCTCCAACCTCCCACAGAAATTTCATAAGGACTTGAGAGTGCTCAGCACCTCCCAGAGCCTGCATCTACAAACACTTCTGGGTACATTTTTAAGGTCTCCACCTTGACTTCATATGAGATTCTCCTCTGATTGTCAGATGAGCTGGCATTAATACTAAAATACAAGCCGAAATAAAATCAGTGCTTCACAGTGCATAGCTAAAAGACAGTGGGTTCTTGCACTTACCAGTTCTCATGCCAAGCACATCTCTTATGATTTCTGTAAAAGCTGGTTCAGACCCAATGCTAAAAGGTCCAGCATTTTTTGATACATATATCCTAGACCTTTCTTTTTATGAAGTGGTATAGGAGGGAAATGGAAGAGTATTTTATGATACTCTTTGACTGATCTGCTTTTTGAAAGAGAATCGCAGAATCATTTGTCTCATCCTTTGTAGTTAGGCAGAGGAACTATTAACTGCAACATGTTGGAGGCAGATTTCCCAAGGTATGCTGCATGCACATGGTCAGTTCCCACACTTCTAGTTGTGGCCAAGAAATCTTAGGAGGATGGAGCAGCTTCTCCCTTTTTTCACTTCAGTGAGTTGCAAAAATAACTCTCAGTGGCAGTGACACAGGCTTCTGCCTGCCGAAACCTTGCCTGAATCCCACAGGTAGTGGCCATCTTTGCTAACAGTGTGTACCTGTCTTAGCAAGGCTTTAAAAATACAGGAAATACTGGCCTGAACTGCCATAATGGAGTTGGCAAATATGCTCTTAGTAAGCACCTGAGTGGGTTTTCTTAGGCGCAAGCAATAGATGCATAGTAGTACCATGACAATCTCACTGCTTCTATCAGATGTCATTCATGATGCCAGCATTGAGAGGATGTAAACCACAGGAAAGCCCCCCAAAAAGTGACATATGCAAGAGTTTTCTTATAATCTAAAAGTTTGTCCCTTGCCTTGTCTGCGGGAGTTAACCTAGCCCAAGGCTTGTCAGCACGACGGTCGTAATCTGGAGAATCCGTGACCTCCACATACTCATTAAATCGAAGGATTCTTCTTGCTTGAAGTTCAGCCACTGTAGGCCTCAGGCTGAGCTGTAAGCAGGAGGCAGAAAACAGTACTTTTAATAAGAAGAAATAAAACAAAAGAAGAGGGTATGATGTAATCCCAAGAGAATTCTAGTGGTATTTCTAAATAGGGTCACTTTCAGGTAGCTATAAAAAGGCATCACCCTGGGAGTGCTGCACGGGAATGGGGAAGCAGCACAACCTAATTTCTTCCATTATAAAAATAGTCTTTGCTGGGCAGGTCACAAAGAATCATGACAGTTATCCCTGGAATATTAATTGTGACTTTGCAACTGTCACACCATTTACCCCAATAGGCAGTAGTCCGTTCACATTAATGATTACACAGTCTGCCACGTTCAACTATAATACTGAAAATAAGCAGGATTTGGAGGTGCCTGCCTAACTAAAAAGATTGGGTTTGAATATCTGGGGTCATTTATGATGCCAAATTGTTTCATTCACCTCAAAACAATATTCACTTTAATTAACTAAAGATGATCATATTAAAGAAACTGTATTTTTGCAGAGAAGAGCAGACTAGGAATACGTATGAAAACTCCCCCATCCTGTCCCAGAACAAACTCCTGAAGTCAGGGCAGCAGATCCATTCCTAACTGCTTTATTTCCAGGACAGAGAGTGCAATCCCACCTGCAGTGGCCAAGGCAGTCAGAAGAATGGTGAAGGAATTTCTTAGGGCACACATTGCTTTGCTGCCTTCTCTGCTGCTTGAGGGAAGAGTGGATCTACAGGTACATCTGGCCTCTAACATGACAGCAGTGGCCATGCTCACTGAGCAAATATGTGTAATTTCTCTCCTCTGCTTACACAGACAAATATTAAGCATGGCCAGACTCCATATGCTTTTCCTGCAGTTACGGGAAACTGGCCAGGATGGAGTTTCCCCCATGGTGGACTGGGCTTGTACTGCTTTTTAAACAGATTTCTAGACTGGGGCATGAAGTGATGGACATTTGCAGTAATGTATATACAACAATTCTTAGAATAATTGTACACAAATATACAATACAAAAAACGCATCATCACCTTTCTACTGAGTTTACGTTTTATTTCTCTTTTGGCTTCCTGCTCCTCTTCTTCATTTTTCTCTGTTTTCAGAAGAGATAAGAAGGAGTGAATATTTAAGTATTAGAACTGCACATACTGTGTTTTTCTTGGTTGAAAGCTTCATGACTTAAACCCTGGCCCATGTTTCCTCATATTTCTGGGTGATCCTGCCTGCACTGTCTGCCTTTTAGGTTTTGTGTGCTCTCATTTCTTTTCCCTATCCTCGTTTCCCCTGATTCTTTAGACATCTCAAGTCACCACTGTGGGTCAGGAGCACAGCAGAGGCTGCGTCTGTCATTTTCTATGTAACAGCAAAGTAGTACCCTGAAAGAGCTGCCTGATGTTTCAATTACTCTTCCTAACATTAAAATCACTGTTGCTTTTATTTCCAACATGCCTCCTACTGACTTTAGAGTCTAATTACTCATAAGGCTCAAGAAAAAAGTTTGTTCTGAGTAGCTGAATCAGCTGAGTGTCCTCTACTGCTACAGGATGCAATGAGTCAGTGACAATTTGTTTCACCATCATTTGTTAGTGCAAATTGGTTTTGTTACTTTAATGTTTTTTTTTTTCTGGTTTTATAATGTGGGAGTGTGATTCAGCACTCAAGCCCTCTTGATCAAGGGCCACTAGGCTAGACCAAATGAACAAGTACAGCAGGAAATGGTATATGCATTTTTTAATGTATTTGGGCATGAGACTGAAATACGCTTTCAACAGATTTCTGTGCTAACCCAACTTGATGTCTTGAGTGAAAAGCACACTTACAAAGGCATGCTCATATGGACTCAGCATTTTTAATGTACATTTTGAAGAATATTATTTGCCCTTTTAGCCCACCTCTGAGGGTTATATGCAATGTTAACTTTGTTGTGCCTGAAATATCCCATCTAGAGATACCTGTAAAATTCTGATCCTGTTTTATTCACGGCTGGGGGTTATGGATTCCACATTACAGTTCAAGGCTAACTATAAATGTAAAGGAATTAATTTGTCTGTTGTATAGATAAAAAGGCGGTTTTAAATCCTGTAGTCCTATTTTCCCTGTCTGCTATGGCAAGCCTGCTGTGTTAGTATGGACAACCTGGCCACAGAGGAGTTTCTGTATCATGACTGATACACTGGAAGCAACACTACGACAGGACACCTCGTGGTATTTGAAGATTTTGTCTGCTAACTCAAAGGCTCTCATGCAGGAAAAATGCAAAGGAAAGGGGAAGAGAAACAATGACAAAAAAAAGAAAAAGAAGAAGGTTGCAGCAGGAAAAAGTGATGGCAGCCAAAAGACCTGCTCTGTGAGGAGTGTCCAACACTATCCCCAAGTTTCCAACAGCAAGATGCAATTGTGCAGGCTTGCTGCCAGGATTGGGTTGGATTTCATGTTGATGGTGATTTTACTGAGATACTGAAATGTGGATGTAGTTTATGGTTTATTAATAGCTTTTCTCATAAATGGTGAAGATAAGGATGGTCTGTTTCCATACAGGAGCTGTAAACTGACAGAAAATGAAGAATGGTGAGTTAAAGATTAATTTACATTTTAATATTTTTTAATTAATACATCTATCAATAAAAAAGTTGGGTGTATTTAAGGACTTATAACTTCAAATGTGAACTCTTTTTATAGCAACTTTGCCTAACAAAATCAAAAGCTCTCTAGCTGTTTTAAGACAGGTAAATCATCTGTAGGCTTTTGTTTAAACCTACTGTGTTTCCAATCAATAGACATAGTAACTGAGGTAATTAAATAAAATCTATTAATCTGGGGTCCCATTTACCTAAGAATCATTTGGCATAAAAAATTTTGTCCCCTTATGAACTGAGTAGCTTAGGTCCTACCTCAGAAATTCTCCAGTAGCAGACACAGCAGAAAAACAATGCAGCTGGATGTACACATCACTGTACTGCCTTTTCTTAATTTAGTTCGTAAAATACATTCTGCATTATTCACTTCTTGACATTTCATTGCTATCTAAACCACCGTGTCTCCTAAGATACAGTAATAAGACAGTGTAAAAAATAGTGGCTCGCACTGCTTAATTCATACCTTAAGGAAAAACTACCAACAGCACAGCCACCTGAAATTGTTGGGGGAGGATAAAATAACTCAAAAAAGTTGATGCGGACATTTAGGAAGGTTGAAGGTTAGCTGCCCATCTCAAGCTGTAAAGCTATCTCACAGCGGGTAGCAGATGACTGTATGAAAGGATGGCTGGACACAAGAAACCACCTAGAAATGGGTGATGAGCAAGGCCATCATCTTAGCTGCTGGGCAGAGGATCCAGGCAGGTCCTGGAGAAGGCTGTCGAGATCTGGAAGCCCACCTTTTGGAGGGCAACTCCAACAGGGGGCACCAAGAGCTTCCTTCACTCCCAGGTAAAGCAGGAGGCAATCAAACATGTGGGAAACGGTCTTCTGTATGAGAGGTCAGGAAGCAGGAAGGGCACTACACACCCAAGTTGCTTCACTTCTAGGAATAAACTCAAGAGCTAAAGGAAAAAGACTGAAGTTTGGTGGCTGCTGCTAATATAATGAATCTGCTGGTCAGCAGGTGGCCCTCCATCTGTGGCCCCTCCTTCCCATCCCCAGCCTGCTGGGCAGTGTTGCTGCTTTAAGCTTGGTGCTATGAAAACATTGTTCATAGGATATAAATTCCTATCAACAGTAAAACCTATAGTGTGTTTTTCTTCTCTTAAGATAAAAGTTTTGAAAGTTACCATAGTGAGTTAAGATGTGTGGTGCTAAAAAGAATGGGTCTAGTGCTTCTGCTTCCTTCAGGTGTTGTGGAAAATTCCAGCCGGAGGGCCAGCTTTTGGCTGCAGGTACCAACTGACTCACTTGCCCAAACAGGAACACATTAATGCATAGGAACACACTCTGGCTGCTTTCCACCTTAAAACAGATCTAATCTGTGCAATATGGGTAAGAAAATACAAACACAATGTTCCCAGCTGCAAGTCCCCTCCTCAGATGTCCTGCTGCTGCCGTACTGGCAAAAGACCAGCACATCAAGCGCCCTTGCTTGCAGGAGTCTGCAGTTAGATCCCAGCAAAACTACGGTTTTCCTCCTTCCCTGCCTGCAGCTCCTAGGAGGTCAAACTGGGATTGAACTCCTAACTGAAGCAATTCTGTTTAGTATCATTTAGCAAGCCAAACAAGCAGCTTCCCCGACATCTATACGTTAGTGCTCCTGCAATTTTTGCCATATTAAGTCTGGCCACCACCTGTTCAGTGGGATATTTGTTTTGTAGCAGAAGGGGAAAAGAGAAGAGAGAATTGTTCTGCCTGAGGACTGCTCCATTCTTGACCACAAAGTACTCCCGCAGCGTAAAACTGAACTTTCCACTGTGTTCCTATGGGATTAGCTATGTTTAGACTTCTCTGTGGGCTTGCAGGGAAAGAGAAAAAGACAAACAAAGTGCTTTCCTCTTGCAGCAGTCTGGAACACACAAAGTGTTTTCTCTTTCCTCATTTTACAAGCAATGATAACCATTAATATTCCTTAATAAGCTAAACCCTGTTTTCTACAAAGCCAGTACTGGCAGGCATGCAGGTGCACAGCACAAGAAGCTCACTGTCCCTTACAAATACAGGAAAAAATACAGTTATCTTAATCCAAAATTCCTGGAAGAATAGAAAGGTTCTTTGCCATAATGGAACACTATAAATACTACTGGCTCAAAGCCAGTACACAAGAAACTTGTCTTTATTAAAAACACGGGGCTTTATCTATTCCTTCAAGTTCACTCCTGAGTTATCGGAACTTTGTTTTAGTGTGGGAAGACTCAGAAGTCTGAGTAGTTTTATCCAAATTGTTTTTATAGAAATCTGCCTGCATGTCGTATGATCGTACTCAGTCACAGGATTTTCAGTAACTGGTTTATCTGGAAACATTGTCTAAACAAAATGTCTTTCAAGACAGATTTTCTCACTAACTGTAAATACAGAAAAAGAAAAAAAAATACTGACGTCTGAACTTCTTAAAAGATTTGGGTTGGGTTTAATCCTGAAGTAAACCTTTGCACCTTTACCATTTAATGTAATCTTAAAGTCTGATAAATATTACTCAAAATACTACTTTCAAATATTGCTTTTCCTTAGCTGCAGTTTACATACGGGCAATAATATAAACCCTTCTCCTCATCTATTGCTTAAAAATAGGAGGAAGGAAGCTTTATGAAAGAAATTCCAACTTGTTCACCAAAGCTGCCTGCAACAAAGACATTTAAGAGATGTAAACATTTTCAAATGATCCACAGGAAGGGAATGTAATAATTTTGATAAATAATATGACTGCCCTGCAGCTGAGAGAGAACTTGCACCCTTAAGGGGCTCTGAGTCAGACTCACCACAAACCCAGGCTTGCTTTAGTTTCCTTTGCTTTTACAGATCACTATCAACTCAGAATATTTTATATCTCGGTGATGAACAAAAGGCAGCTCTGGATTCTCTATGTGCTTGCCAATGACTCTGTGACTGCTTGTGATTTATAACCTTTATTTTTTGCTCTCCCTTGCCTCTTTAAGATAGCCCCCTGGCAGCAGCAGGGGAGGATGGTGGGAGGCATTGAGTGCAAAGCCTGGTATGCTGCCAAAAACTTAAAGTAAACAAGCTGAAATGGGAGAAGAAATCCATTAACTGCTTTCAAGTCTTAAGCTACTTATTGCAAAAGCAATGGATGGAATAAACAGTGGCAAAAGGGATATTAAATACATCGCAGGTTCACTGCTAGATCAGTTATCCTGAGATGAGCGAAATAGAGAGGGCAGTAAGGAAGCCCAGCTGGTGCTCCCAGCTCAGTGGCCATATCCTGGCCCACCAAACATGTTTTGGAATGACTTTTCTCATACAATCCAGCACAAGTGGATATAAAAAAAAAGGTTTGTACTTTATTTATCTATGCAATCTATAGGTTCAGAAATTATAGTCTTAGGAAGTCTACTCACATTATGTGCTGGACAGAAGTCCCCTGACCCTGCTCCTGTGCACCACAATGCATGAGCTGTAGCTTCCCTTTTCAGTGAGATGTGGCACTATTTGGCTTTTGAGAGCTTGGACAACAGCACTAGGATTTTATTAGATGGATGACTGTCTAAAAGCCAGTAACTGCTATGTCTCTTTGATTTGCTGGCCTAAGCTGGTGACGGAGTGATCAGTCCATGGATTTTGTCAGGTTAACAGCCCATTTTCTTTCCTTCCATTAGCATGCTGTGCACCAGGGTTGCACAGGTGAACTCTCAACTTTTCCAAAGAATTGTTGGAAATAACGACATTATACCTGCTCTTTCATCAAGTGTGGGAAGTTCTTATACCTTAAGAATAAAAGAGGTTTTTGATTTCTTGCTATGTGTGAAAGACTTGCATGTGCATTTTCTTCATTCATTTTTTCTACTTAGGCATGAAGTGCTAGGCTACCTTTGCAGAATGAATACAAGGCTAGATGGAGCTGGGCATGGCAACTGTTACAGTATATTGTTTAGGTAACATCCATATTATGGAAAGATTCATAAACGAAGACAAAAAAAAACCCTCCTGTTCTGAAATGTCTGTCAGCCTAAGAACAAAACCAACATAAGTAAATGGAGAATAAGTATATGGGGTAAACATCCATCGCACTTCACTCCTCTGCCCCGACTACTTGAATTATTCAGTTCTTCACCAGGGATATTATGGAAGTATTTAATCAATGGGAAGATATTATAGAATCACAGAATCAACCAGGTTGGAAAAGACCTTTAAGATTCAGTGAGAATGTCTCATGCAGGTTTCAGTACAGAAGACATTTATGTCAGAAGTGGATATGAAGGCTAGCATGCTGATGTAGTTGTCATATACCTATTCAGTTTCCCCTGAACACTTCCCCTTTCCTCTTTCTACTCCTCCTTCCAACCTCTGCCCTTATTTCCCACCTCCTACTGATATTCCCTATTCCTCCTCATAAAAAGTAGGCAGAAGTTTAACCAGCCTAGAACTACTTATAGAGAGAGGGTATCTAAGTCATTCCTGGTGTTTGGAGCAGCTTCAAGAAGTGGGATTGTGAGAAGCAAAATTTGGCATACTGAGTATACAGTTTTCACAGCTACCATTACAGGTTAGTATATAAATCTAGTATTGACACATTATTTTCTAGAACATAATTTCTCTCCAGTTACGGATCTAACACTGGAGCAACAATGACAGGCTTCCATATGAATCCAACATATATTCACTTTGTAAGTAAATACTAGATGAAACCTGAATAAAATACTTACGCTTCAGGATATTCCTTTGCTCAAGCTCTTCAGTTGTAGGCCTCTGGCTAAGTCTCCTGTGAGATCAAAGTAAATGACTGATTTAAAACCAGATCCAAATAATACATGATGATTTGTAATACAGCTTAAAAGGTGTTTCTCATGTGGCCAGGCTATTCTTTGCCAGCAGAGGTGTTCAACAAATCAGATAATTTCCAGACAGTTAAAATAACTGCGCATGTAACGACAGTACTGCATGGCCATTTGGTTTAATGTATGTACTGCTGTCACTCAAACACCTAAATAACTGATGCCTGCATAATATTAAAGAAATCATATCAGCAGATTTAAATTCCTCATTTACAATAACAATTTTATGAAAGAAATTCATAAACCTTTTTTTGTTCCCAGGCACCATCATTATAAGATATGCAATTAATTGCTAGGTTATTCTCAGATATCTTGAATTAAAATCCTATTCATTAAAAAAACCCACAAAAGCTGTGCATTACTCACTGTTTTTTACGTACAAGTGGGAGCTTTAGTCGAATCTTAATTTTATTCAGTTACCTACAAATAACACCTGCCATTTAAAAAAAAAACCTATTTTTCTGGTTTATACAGTGGAGAACACGTTTGATGCTGTGCCTATGTTGCCTACTAGACAAGTTCACTTGTTCACTTGAGAAAAGCAGCAGGAAAATACTCAGCAGTAAAATTTATTAAAATATTACTATGTTAAAGATAGCTGCCTCTCTGTCCAGCAAACCTCACACAGTTCACTATGAATCATCTTCAGCTTCTGATTCAAACCATGCTTGGACTTTTGGGTTTGGTGGGGAAGACTGTCAGGTTTACCACGGGTGACCAGCCCCTGCTGTAGAAAGCCCCAGGTGGGACCTGACCTGACTCTACCCAGCTGTGGGAACAAGTTTTCCATCAGACCTCAATGCTGCCAGGTGCTGACCGCCACAGCAGGAATTTTTAAGGAACTGGCGTCAAACTTGGTTGTGATTTCAGGCATGAGCACAGCCCTGGCATGCATGGACACCTTCTCCTGCCATCCCAGTTTCCTGGCAGAACCACCAGTGTCCCTGCACAAGAAGTTCAGGGCAGAAATCAGAGCAGCTTCTGCAGTTCAAGCCTCTGAGGGACACTGAGAAGCAGGATGTGATCATCAGAGCTGGGATTCAGTCAGGAAAGCAGAGATAACAACCACACCACTTTATTAGCAGAAGAAAAATGACCCTTGGGCTCTACACAATAGATGTGTCACTGTCACGGTTAAAGGATGAAAGAAATGACACAGCCCATCATCATAGAGCAACTCAGCTCATCTTCTAAGTCCTGATGCAAGGCTGTGGTACTCTGTACTGGAGCAGTACTGGCTGAACTACCCAATATCTGGAAATCTCCAATAAACACAGGACATCCTGCAAATCTATCTGGACATTTCTGAGCACATGAGAAACAAGGACAGGTCTGGGAAAATCCAGACATTTTGTAGTCTATTTACAGAGATCATGAAAGCCAAAATTAACATTTGTAAGGATTAAAAAAAAAAAAAAAAAGCTTGTAAAAATGGAAGTGAAAATTAATCTCTTTTAATGCAATGTTCTCAAGTCCAGAAAGAGAAAGTTAAACAGCATGAGAAAGACATGCCTCAGAGGTGGGCGCAGTAAACAAGGTCTGCCTCCTTCCATTTCTTTTGCTGGAACCAGCACATGAATAATGAGAGAGTTAGAGAACAGGAGGAGGATGGGGAGGGCATGAATGAACATGCACAGGCATGCTCTGTGTGTCAGGAACTACTCCTCTGACGAAGACGGGTATATATAAGTGCAAGTCTTTGCTAACCTATTTGAGAAAAAAGTTGAACCATGGCACTGACTGCTATGGAGTCACTCTTATTCTCTTCCTCTTTATTCTTTTTATTTTTAAACCAAACAACCCACCCCCCCCTAAAGCTTTCAGATTTGTTTCTTGCAGGACAAAAATGCATTACTGACATTTTAAAGTTTTGTGAGAAATAAAAATACTGTTTTCCAGACAGTTGTACCACAAAGATCCTGCACTGCATATTGGGCTGCATTTAAACTTGAACCCAGTGTTTTCGATTCTCTTCCTCCATCTCCGCCCAATGAAACCACATTTACCCTGCAACTGATACCTCACTAGCTTCGTTCCAATCTGATGTCTGATTTCCTGCCTCTCCTCTTCAGATGTCCTCTGCAAGATGTTTTTGTCTTCTAATTCTTTCTTAGATGGTCTGTTGCCAAGCTTGATAGCAAGAGTATCCCTTCGACGAATTTTACTTGCCAAAGAGCCTGAGGAAAGGAGGAGAAGGGTAGATTCAGTTCATTCATACTTAGGTTAGAGACACAAACTCTGAGTAAGAACTTGAATACCTTCCAGAAGCAGCCATGTTCCCACATGCAGAAGAATTTTAATAAACATCAAAAGAGAAGTAGTTTTAGCTCAGTTCACAACAATAAAAAGCTGAAAGGCTTGGATGAAAGAGCTACCAGCCACATTGATAGGGGAGTTTCAGAAACATCACCTGTCATCTGTGAAGTGCCAGGATAAAAATGACAAATTTATACTTAAGTGTCTTTGAACTATGATACATTACAGGTTGGTTTATTTATCCCCTTAGTATATCTAGCAAGCTGTTGCTCTTTTTCTTCAGCCTTAAATGGTTTAGTCTCACTCTGTCATAATTTCCTCATTCTCTCAATTGTCTTTCAATCTAATACCACTTTGTTCTTGTATAGTGCTTTTAGACTTTAACTGATTTGTAAATTAAAACAAAAATACAGTTTAGAAAAGTGCTCTGAGTGCTTGTAAAATGACCTGGACAGGAACCCCCAGGCACTGAAGCAATCTGTTTGTCCATAAAACAGATATAGTAGAGACAAGGGCCATGCAATTTTGTTAGCCATAGCCACAGCCAGATGTGGAAGGAAGGGTATTTTTCATGGCCTTTAGTCCTTCCCTTGTATCTTGATATTTTGACTGAGGGGGCTACCTATGTCCTAGGCTGGCCGATTTTCACCACATCATAACACAGTCTGGTAACACCACAAGCTCCCAGCTCACTTCTCGTAAGACACATGCTGCTGTCTGAATACATGATTTTTTGGTTGCTACCACTTTGGATGGTATTCAAACCAAATGCAGAACTGCAGAAACTTCAGCCTCTTGATCTATCTGGCACATCAGCTTCCGCTGCACCAGTGGCCAAGGAAAAAACATAAATGTTCATTTTCCCTCATCCCCCTTTGGTACACAGTACTTCGATTTCAGGCAAAGGTGCAGCCATCGGCTGAGCAGGATCAGGGAACTGATTCTATTGAAAATCAGCTCAACAACAGCCACCATTGCAAAAATAAACATTTTTGCTGGCCTAAGGGAAGAATGAACAGCTGGGAGCAGGGATTAGGCAGAAGGTGAGCAGGACAACCCCCTTCAGCAGCAGCAAGGACATCTGTCAAATTAGGGTGATAATATAGTCATGACTCCAGATGAAACTTCAAAGCTGTGAAAGCAGATGTAATCCACTGTGATCTCCTCTGCCTGTTAAGGTGCTCCAATGCTTAAAACATCCTGATCAAAGAGGAACAAATTACTTTGAGACAGTGAAGCTGCTGATTGATGGACTACCTCTACTGTCTACCAAAGACTGTTACTCCCACAAGACACTCTGGGATATCTAGAGCAGTGCTTGTGTGACTAGCTGAAAGTCACACTGGTGTTTTAACAGCAGAGGTTCATGACATGGGCAAGACAAATCAATGGCTTTCTGATGTCCTGAAGTGTGTGCCTTTTTCCACCCTCATGTTCTTCTGAGCCTGCTCCTCCTATCTCCACTCCTATCCTTGCAATGCTTGATCTGCTCTCACCATTGCATAGGTCCCAGAAGGTTTCTGATCACAGCTGTTAGAGAGAAGTGGGACACCCATTTCTCTGTAGTGGCAAAATAGTGAATCATCTAAACCCACCCCATGCAGCCATACCTCTCTTTACTTCACACTAGCATGGGTCAGGCATGCTCATGTAATGCAATGGGGAAAAGGTCATGCAACTTCTTGGTGGGATGCTTACTTTCAGCACTTGCATTATCATCATCATCATCATCATCATCTGTGTACAGTATTGGCCCATCAGAGTCTGAGTCGCTGCTGTGGCTCTCTCTGCTGCTTTCACTCTCAGGAGGAGCAGCAGTGTCAGAAGCCTCCTCCACCAGTTCAGAGTGTGCCTGGTCAGGTGCCTCCCCTTCCTGGTCTTCTTTGGTAGCTAAGCTGTCAATTCATAAGCAGACATGGTGTCACATTAACATAGGCAGCACAAAACACAAATGGGACACAAACTGTATAAGCAAGTGTGAAAATAAAAGTTCTGTTATTCCAATTAACTTCTCTCTTTCTAAAAAAAATTACATATATAAAACATACATAAAGCATATAGATATGTACATGTATGCGTATGTATGTATGAAGACCTCAGGCCCACTGTAGGAGAGGATCTGGTTCGAGACCATCTTAAAAATCTGAACATGCACAAGTCCATGGGACCTGATGAAATCCATGGGTCCTGAAGGAGCTGGCAAATGAAGTTGCTAAGCCACTGGCCATCATATTTGAGAAATCATGGCAGTCAGGTGAAGTTCCCAAGGACTGGAAAAAGGGAAATATAACCCCATTTTCAAGAAGGGGAAAATGGATGACCCGGGGAATTACAGACCAGCCAGTCTCACCTCTGTGGGTGAGCAAAACACAGAGTTTTGCTGTGTTTTGCTCTGTGCCTGGCAAAATCTTGGAGCAGATTCTCCTGGAAGGCGTGCTAAGGCACATGAAAATCAACAAGGTGCTTGGTGACAGCCAGCATGGCTTCACTAAGGGGAAATCCAGCCTGACCAATTTGGTGGCCTTCTATGAGGGGGCTACAGAACTGATGGACAGGGGTAGAGCAGTTGATGTCATCTACCTGCACTTGTGTAAAGCATTCGACACTGTCCCACACGACATCCTTGTCTCTAAATTGGAGAGACATCAATTTGATGGATGGACCACTTGGTGGATAAAGAACTGGCTGGATGGCTGCACGCAAAGAGTTGTGGTCAATGGCTCAATGTCCAGCTGGAGACCAGTAACAAGTGGCGTCCCTCAGGGATCATTCTTGTTCAACATCTTTGTTGCTGACATGGACAGTGGGATTGAGTGCACCCTCAGCAAGTTTGCCGATGACACCAAGCTGTGTGGTTCGGTTGATACCCTGGAGGGAAGGAATGCCATCCAGAGGGCCCTTGACACGCTTGTGAGGTGGGCTGATGCCAACCTCATGAAGTTTAACCATGCCAAGTGCAAGGTCCTATACCTGGGTTGGAGCAATCCCAGGCACAGCTACAGGTTGGGCAGAGAAGAGATTCAGAGCAGCTCTGCGGAGAAGGACTTGGGGGTTCTGGTCGATGAGAAAATGAACATGAGCAGGCAGTGTGCACTTGCAGAAGTCCAGAGAAGGGCCACGAATAAGACCAGGGTACTGGAGCACCTCCCATATGAAGACAGGCTGACGAAGTTGGGGCTGTTCAGCCTGGAGAAGAGAAGGCTGCGTGGAGACCTCACAGAAGACTTCCAGTATCTGAAGGGGACCTATAGGGATGCTGGGGAGGGACTCTTTAGAGACTGTAGTGATAGGACAAGGGGTAATGGGTTAAAACTTAAACAGGGGAAGTGTAGATTGGATATAAGGAGGAAATTCTTTCCTGTTAGGGTTCTGAGGCACTGGAATAGGTTGCCCAGGGAGGCTGTGAATGCTCCATCCCTGGCAGTGTTCAAGATCAGGTTGGGCGAGGCCTTGGGTGAGATGGTTTAGTGTGAGGTGTCCCTGCCCATGGCAGGGGGGTTGGAACTAGATGATCTTAAGTTCCTTTCCAACCCTAACGATTCTATGATTCTATGTTACAAAAAAAGTTGCAAATGATCTGGAATGATGTGCTGCAAAGCCTGTACAAAATAAAATGCTAATTCTACCTTATTGCTTGTGTGATGTGACCAACAGTGCATAAAGGTTACTAAGAAGAGAAAAACAGCTCATAAAGTTGGGGGTGAGAGAAGAAAGTCATAGAGCAGATGGGAATGTAAAGCTTCCTGTTCTGGAAGTGTATCTCTATCTATTTTAAATACAGTTTTACTGCTGTTAAGTCCAAAATATTCATGCCTATCACTGATGAACATTGAAAACAGCAGCAGAGCACTGTTTGCCTTAGGAAAAGTAAGTAAGGGCAGAACAGTACAGTATCATAATGCTGACACAGATGTACTAGCAGGAATTTAAAGGAGTCTCTAGGCCACTGACATCTAGACTAAACCCTCTTGGGTTGTTATGAAAGTTCCTGTGGCAGGGAAAAGACAGATTAATAAGCCAGTTTAATTTGGTGCCAACTATTTCTTTAAAAAAAAATGTAATTATGACCTTTCTCTTTACTAGATTTTGTAGTATCTGAGACCGAGACAAGCTACTAGGCAGTGACAGACCAAACACCTACTAAGCAAGGCCTGAAACTGTCATTTTCAAGTGTGCAAGTAAATTCAGCTATTGAATTGAGAGCTTTAGCAGCGAGATACTTAATGACATCTGCAAAAAACCAAACCAAAACAAAAAAAACCTTGTAACGCAGCAGTATTTCTTGTTTGCCTTTATGAGAGGGAAATAAAAGTGTTACCAGCTACTGGCTGATACTGTGCTGTGAACACAGTGGTCTCATTAAGCCACACGATGTAGGAGGCAGGTTATGAGCAATGACCTTCTTGGGAAAAATGAGGTACAGCAGGTGACTGGCTCAAAGGCACTCTCAAGGAACAAAATGTGCTGGAATGCAACACAAACCATTACCAGTCAGCAGAAGAAACAGAAGAGCTCCCCATGCGCCTGCAGCATCCCTTACTTGAAGAAATGTGGCTTCATTGGCTGTGGGTCTTACCATTCACCCATGACAGCCATACCACCTTACCTTTTTGTGTCTCCTCCACCCGCATCTGGACCACTGTCTAGGGCATGGCTGTCATCTGTGCCATGCTCAGTCTGGAGAGGAGGCTTAGCATCTGATCCGGGGACAGCTGGCCCTGCTGCACAGCCATCTGACACTTCCTGGGCATCTGAAGAGACAGTGGGCTGACCAGATCCAGCAGGAAAAGGAGGTGGAAGCGGAGGTGGAGGAGGGGCAGAGGTGGGAGGAGGGGGGACAACAAGCTTGCTCGCTTGGTTCGCATCCTCCGTTTCTGAAATTAGTATGGAAGGTTGCTCAGGTTCGAGTTTTTTTGCCTTTACTTCCAAACTGTTGGCTGTGGCACCTGAGGGGGAAGAAGCAGCTCCATCTGGTGCTGTTCGTGGGGCTGAATGTTTCCCAGTTTTTTTCTTGCCCCTGGGAGTCCCTGATGTGCTCGATTTGCTGGAAGTCTCCTTAGAGGCCTTGGGATGAGATGATGTGGATGGAGATGGTGATGAAGAGGACTTGGAGACTAGCGTTTTTTTCACATGAGAGGAACCAGCTAAAAGAAGAAAAGAAAAAGCCTTTTACAGTCTCATAACCGTGAATTTTGCTCCATTCCTTCTGCATGTATTGACATGCTGGTATTTAAAAAATGAAAAATATTACATTTGATACTTATACAATCCATTTATGTGCTTGAGACAAGTAAATGTTGCTGTTCAGATTTCACCTTTAAGATGGGAAAAACTGAAACCATGCTAGAATCAAAGTCTCAGGCAAGAACAGTGGAGAGGTTCAACCATACAAATGGGTGATTCTAGCATTCTGCATTGGCCCATTAAAACTTGCCTGGGCAAAAAGAATCCACTATTTATTCCCAATGTGTTTAGTGCCCTATTTAAGAAGAAAAACCCTGCTACTAGAGGTTAGATTAAATTGTGTGACCCTCCCTATTATGTGAATTTTCATCTGAGCACTAGGAGCACACCATGATTTTCCTTATGCTTTTCGGTGAACACCTCAGGACCATTACAGATATAAATTACTTTTCACAATGTTATTGCAAGTGGTGTACTCCTAGCTAATGGCAAGCAGCACAGGGACAGCAAACCAAGATGTACTTTCAAGTCCAGCTGGGCGTGTTCATAAAACAGAGGCAGAAACAACTGATCTCACTCAGCAGAAATGCTCTCCAGAGGCATTGAAGGCCTCTTGCATATACTGGGAGTTCTAATCTTACCAGTGACCAACGCAGGTAGCCTTGAAAATGTAGTGAAACAAGGTTTTGACACTAGCTGTACAAGCCAGTCCTGAGTTGCTGCTGTTTAATCCTGTGACACACACCATATTGAAGCATTTATGCACAATGCCTAAATTTGAAAGATATTTCATCCAGCCTGCATGCCCATATGCATTCCATCCACATTTCTGATTGCTGTGTTGATGCACCCATCATCTGGACCGAGAGCTTCAAACTTCTGACTTTCATTTAAAAAGCAATAAAAAAGACAACTATCTTATGAGCCAGTCCTTTTCATCAAAATGCATCCAACTCAAACACGCCTGCTGTAGTAAAAATGCATTATCCTCCAGAGAACAAATGAAAGCATTATAAAGCTACATAGCAGCCTTGCGGCTAAGCTTATTGAGTCAAACAGAAAGCTGTAACAAAACTCTCCTGAAAGGCCTACTTTACTTATAAGCATTTAAACAAAAACAAAACCCCAGCAGATTAGGATAGGCCCAAAATACAGATACTGGCCATAACAAGCTCACGATATAAAAATAGCTTTCACAGTGAGAGTGTTCTCAGTCTCACAGATGGAAAACAATTCAAAAGACACATTATACTGTCCTCTTCTGTGGCTCAGTATTATGATTTATAAACAGAGTGCTGTGAGGCTTTCAGTACATCTGGAAAAATCCACAGAAACTTCAGGCAAATCACTGTCCCTCTTTGTGCTGCAAGGTCATTGTAAGGGGCACTGTACCGAATCCACTGATACTGCACTAAGCATCCACATCAAGTACAAATCACTAACTTAATTTACCAACAAATCAAAAGGAAGCAAAGAAATGGTGTAGGCTGTAGTTCCTAACTGCAGTGGAAATAGATAGTGGCTCCAATCTGCATATTTAGCAGAAACCTCACTGAGTAAGTGTATGGTAGCAAGAAACGGCTCTGGTTCTCATCCAGCAAAGTGCTTCAACACGGGCTGGAAGTTCAGCAGAACCAGTTACATGCTTATACTTAAGAAGTCCAGCATAATACAGATATGCAGCCACATTATAATTATTGCTGGGAAAATGTCAAAAGATGTTTCCACTGGAAAAAAAAAAGCCTTAAATTATTCTCAGAACCTTTCTGGACCTGCAATCAAGATACAGAAACTGGAATAATTTCTCCCAAGAAAAATCCTCCTGCATTTTTTTGTAGGTCAAAAGTGCTATTGCTAATGTTGCTTTTGACTGGGCTGGCTGACAATTTTCTGTCATGCCTCTTTGTTGGTGGAAGATTTGAATTTTGATTAAATGAAAAATTTCACGGCTGTTATTTGCCTTTTTGGCACATGTCCATGCTTGTGTTTAAGTCCCCTTCTCCCAGCTCCACTACTTCAGTTTGAAAACCTGCTTTGATACCCTCAGGAGAGCTATGGCTCAGTTGTTACTCATACTCCTTTTCTCCTTCACAGGATGGATCACTGGCTATATCATGCATTCACTTTCACAGGAATCCAACAAATCTCTTCTACTAATGGTGCTCCCGGTCAGCTGTACTTACAAAGTACTGCCTCAATTCAAATGATCACAATGTACTTTAAATGTTGGAAGAAATTACCATAAGAACAGGTACTATTTTATATAAGGGATACATGGATGTATTTTACACCACTGCGGTCTCAAGCACTACATGATGTTTCACAGCAAGACGACTGGAAGACAAATCTGGAATATTAATGTATTTGAATTTAAGAACTCGGATACCTGAGTTTGTTACCAGCCACTGGTCTGAACATTTCTTAATGTAATTGGCTGTTTTATTTCTGCTGTTATAAGGTTCCTTCACCTAAGAAGAACTGAGTTTTCCAGCTGCATGTGAAATACACGCAGCAAATTCTGGGTTTTCAAAATGTTTATGCTTCTGGTCATCTGATGCAGTGGGGACAGTTAATACCAAGTTAATGGACATTTTATGGCAGAGTTATCATTGTAACTCTAGCAGTCTTGCAATGTTTTCAAACAGTCCTCTTCTGTATGCTTCAAATACAAAATGTGCCAAATTGTACAAGCTACAAAGGGGTATAATTGGGAAGAAAACTGGAGGGACTGAAGGGCTTTCAAAGACTTACAGAGGATTGAAAACGCAAGGCTTATATAAGTTTATCAGCGCATATATACAGCCCATTCATCACAATACTGCTTGCGTTCAAATTATATTTGGAGGTTTTAATTTTGGTCATTCTCTAAATTACAGCTATTCAAACTCAAAATCGGTACCTTAAAAACAGCTACTTATAATCTTTAATCTAGTATCACTGCTGAATTTCAGTTTAAAAGTATAGGGATAAACACATCTGCTATGTGCCTGATGATTGACATTTTCCATTTCCAGTGCACATTTAGAATCACAGCAAGGCAGCAACCACCTCAGGGAAGCCTGGCTATTTCTAATGGTTACAATTCTTTCAATTGTTTTGCTTGGTTTTGTTTGGTTTGGTGTTGTTGCTTTGTTTTGTTGGGTTCTTTTTTTTCAAGTAAAACAGCTGGTCCTCAACAGTCTTCAAAGATGTTTTCATAGTTCTACCTTTTATCTCTCTGAGATCTTATAATCTTGTCAAATTAACTGCAATAGTAGATATCTCCATCAGAAAGTTACAGCAATGCCATAGCAATTTTACTTTGGGACACCTCATATGTTTCATTTCAGAAGTCACCTTTTTCCCTGCTGATTCTTCAGCAGTTCTTTGGGTTATTTTGTTGCCAGCATTCACACACGAACTGGGAATTCAATATTGTCTCTGGTGTGCTTGGTGTTGTGCACACATTCTTTAAACAGCAAAGTGATCTGTCCGGGGCGTTTGCAGACAGCAGAACCAGAGCTCGACGGGAAGCTGAGCAGGAAAAACAACCATGGCATGCTCTTTACTAATGCTGCTATGTACAAAGGCAGAAGTTATTGTCAGACCAAGCCAAGCACCCCCATGCACATGCGCCCACCAGAACTGGCACTGCCTGTGCAGTACTCACCAGTGTCTCGATTTGCACCGTGACTTGCTGGCTTGGGTGGTGGGAGAGAAGGCTGCTTAGCAGGAGCCTTTCCCTTTTTTTTAGCATGAGGTGCTTCATTACTCTTATGGCTGGTGGTGGATGAGGCAGCAATAGCGTTTTTTGGTGGTAGTGGAGCTTTTTTAGATTTAGGCTTAGGCTTGGGTAGTGGCGGAGCATGGGATGCTGGTATTTCTGGGCAGTGATCAGTAGTGCTCTCTATGGATAAGAAAGTGAACAGAAGCCAACACATATAACGCCACATACATTCAACAACAAGCCCAACAACAATGACTACTTTTTGCTGCTTGAGCTCTTGGGAATCAGGAGAGACTTCATCTTCTGCCTCTTACTGAAGTATTATCCCAGAAAAAATTACCATCCATCTCAATTCAAGTCCTCCTCATGGAAGATTTTTGCTTGGCACTTCTCTCAGTCTCATATACTCTAGACCTGCAAGGATCATTCCTAATGTTCAGTATGCCCAACTAGACTACTGGCTGAAAACTAAACAAGGGAAATGACAATTACTCTTCTAACAAATTCCCTCAGGTTCTTTCCAGCCCTCTGAGAACAAAAGGCTATAAAACTCAGATTCACTTGAACCTGAATGTGAACAGTGCCATTCTCTCAGCCATGGGTTCAAATATGGCTATGCAGCTGAAACTTTCCTCTGAAGCAACCCACACTCCTAAGCTGCAAGCTGCTTACTAACAGCAACTTTATTTTGGGTATCTTCCCCAGGGTATTTCTACCCTTCACAAAGAGATGAAGCTAAATCAAATAGCATATCATTTGCCATGGGAACGCTCTCCTCTCCTGCAAGCTCTTTGGGTACTGTTACAAGACTGCACTTTCAAGAATCATCATTTCCTTAGTGAATAGGAATTTGGACTGCATATATGTCATGCAATAGAAATGGCTCTGTAGAGTGAAAGAGGCAGCACTGAGGACCCAATGTCCACAGTGTGCATTTCAGGAGACGGCTTTGGACTAGCTTCAGGCTACTGCTATAGATTGCATGCTCAGTAGCGCTGGGAGCAAAAGTTCCTGAACGCATGTTTTGGCTTAGTTTCATCCAAAAGAAACCTGGCTTGTGTGTTCTGCAAACCAAAGAAGGGCAAGTGGGAATGTGTCATGGAAATTAACTTCAAAACTGCAAGCCTAATGCCAACTGTACTGTTAATGTAGGTGAGCCATTTATAATCAACATAAAGTTTTGCAACATAATCACTATGGTTGTAAGACTAGCTGTTCCTAGATGGGAACAGCTGAAGTTCCCAGATGGGAATCTTTATCTATTCACCTACACCAACTCTGTCCATTTGGCCTCAAGATAGCCTTCCCAAACCTTCCAGAAAAAGAGTACCATAAAAGCAAGAGCATACCACCAGAATCATATTGGCTTTATTTTCATGTTACTATAAACTACAGTGGTTGGGGAAGAAAGGAGGCAAGCAAACATTGCAAGGACTTCTATCAGTCTCTTATCACTCAAGAGAAAACCAATTCATTCCTTGCAGTATATTCTTACTAGAGCCTCACAGTTACATATATTAAATGTCCATTCCTCATGCTCCTCCTTCCCATGTAAAAGATTCCCAAGAGATAAGCAGCACCTTTTCATTCTAAGATTAGTAGATGAAAAACAAATAACATGTTTGACAACAGATACATTCTTCATCTCAGAAACAAAGCCTTTTCAACCTCTGGCTTAAGGCTTGTTAACATGGACCTAATGAGTCACCTGCAGTTATTAAAAGCAGCATGCACACATTATATCTCTTAATGAACTGAAGGAATTAACACCACCAGTCCAGTGGCTTTGTCCTTCATTTACAGCCCATTATAGACCAATACAGTTTTGCTAATATTTTGCAAAAACCATTGCATAGCAACGTTTTACAGCTTTCAAACAGATTCTTCTGAGCAGATTCTTGTACTGCCTTTTTGTTTTACAGAGAAAGAGCTCCGAACCAGATACAGACTTTGGAAAAGAAAGAAACACACATATTTGTTACATTTTGCGCCCCTCTTTTAGAGCAAAATGCATCTCCTTGTGAAATTCTACCTACCTTCAATCATAGTTGAAAAACTGATTTAATTCTGAAAAAGCAGGACATTTAAAAATTTTAACTCCATTTATAACAAACATGGCAAAAGAAGATTTTATATTTTAAAGATCTTGAAGGCCACAATGATCAGAAAGAATTTCAAGTGTAAAAGATTTTTTATGTACCTTTTACTTATAGGTCCAACAGGCTAAAATTTTATGTACTAAAAAGAAAAAAAAATTAAAATTTGTGTACTTATACACCACTACTGTGTTTTGTTTTCAGCCATATTAGCAGAGAAAATACTGAAAAGAGAATGATAACCTAGTAAAAAGAAATACATCAATCACCGTATTCTAAAGTAAGTGCAATTTATAACAATGATTTTAAATAAAATACTATGCCATCACTGGGATAATTTTTCTCTAGGATCACTCTTTCCAAGCTGTTATGTACATCACACCAAAGACTGGCAGATCCTTTGTGCTCAGCAGCATCCTATCTGCTCAGACAGTTACAGCACTCACCGAGTCTTGACTGCCCCTTCATTATGTACATGCCCTTTCCCTGGCCTTGACCAATGAATCTGCTTTTTGCAGACAGCCACGAGGAAGGCTATAGTGAAGATGATTACCTTTGACCACATCATCCCTCTTGTCATCTTGTTAGCTTTTTTGTTTTTGTCTTTGTTAGCTTCCTCTTTTTTATCTCATCAGATACAAACTTGACTGCTCCCAGTGTTTGTCTGATCTTGCTCAAACTATTGTTTTTCATTTACTCTTGGGATATGGATTTCCAGTTCCTACCTGAACATTATACCAAAGAAGCAAGGTTTTGAAGCAGATGTTTCTCATTACTATTCTTCTGCTGCCTCTCAGGCTTTGTGAACAATCACTGTCCTCCCTCAAATTCCCCTCTGCTGTTATGCTAAAGCTGTCCATTTTTAGGCTGCTGGCATTGTGCTTGTTATCCTGGTCTGGTTCCCTCTTCTTTTTCAGTGCCTAGCCACAGTATCCTCTCTTTCAGTGCAAGTACGTTGAAGCTTTTTGAGGGTTTTCTGCATTTTTGTAAGTCTTTACAATAAATCCCTGGTATATACACAAGTACTGTAACAATACAAATAACTAATAATGGCAACAGTGGCTTGATCTTGAACAGGACAGGGATGTCTGATGTCTGTAAATGGCTCCAGATAGAATTATGTTGTAATTGTACCTCCCTAACATGATTCTGCTTGAATATGGACCCTTGGTCTTCATGCCTGCTCTTTCTTTTGCATCTTTTGCCAAAACAAGGAGGCATCTGAGTCAGTTCAGACCCATCTAGTTGTTCAAGCCAATCTCCCAGGTACCTCAGCGCCAGCTGCAACATAGTCATATTACTGCTGTTTTTCTTAATGTAGACATCTGTTCATCACAATCTGACCTTCTAACTAAAGGTCTCAAAAGACCATCAGATAGGACTATTTTTTGTTCACTGCTACCTCGATCAAGACATCTGCTGTAAAAACAATCTGTCTATAAATTACTCTTTAAATAGAAAAGCAAAGCAAATATTAATATCTCATTAAGCATTTGATTCAATATGTTTATGTTTTGAATATATTTTCCAAAGGTCAGATTTTCAAGAAAGCTCATTTTGAGATGAGATTTTCTTGTTTCCAGAAACTGTGGTTGGGGCCAGACTCAAAGCTGTGTTCTCATGTAAACACCTAAATGATGGTCAGGGTTACAAAGTACTCAGTATACAACAGCTCTTGTGGGGATTCGTGAAGCCTCAAAGACTTTCAGCAAGATGTCAATGTGCCATATGCACTGGAAAATCAGATTATTTATTTTGGACGCTAAATGTGGGACTTTTTACAAACTCTGGACCAAACAGACCTATGAAAATCCTGCCCATTGTTGCAGAAGCCATACATGACTGGTTTGTATAATGCAATTTTTTTTTTCTTTACCTTTGTAAACTTCTAAGGAACCAAAGGCCAAAGCTTTTACACCTCAGGACTTTGTCATACAGAGCTGATATTTTTGTTTCTACAGCTAGAGCAGTGACATAAAGCTACCTCATGGAAAACCAGTAAAGCTGTAGCACAAGCATATAATCTACATCAACTGCAAAGCATCCTTCTCCTGGAAAAGGAGCACAACTGAGTGGAGTAACACTGTGTAAAATGGAAGCTGCAAATAACGCATGATTTGCTGTCTTTTGCAGGATAACTTCCTCCAAAATAAAACTCACTAAGAGTTTTGAGAATCATGAGTTTCCTTTCCGGCATGCACAGAGAGCTGTGTTTAGATTAATCAAAATCCAGGAAGCTGCCATTCAGGAATATGGGACATAGGGCAACACAAGGTGTCATTTGTTTCTTTTTTGGACTCACTGACTATGCTGATGCAGGTGGTCAACTCATACAAATCCTTTCATAAACTTCAGATTCAGTCAGCTCTATTTTTGTTCCTGCTATGCTACGAAAATTCTGTTCAAGAAAAGACCCATTCTAATTGTTAGAAAGCTTCCTTTAATTTCCAGTCTAAATGTATTTCAAGGCACTGTTTATTCCTTTCTACTTGTGCCAGCATTGTCCTTTAGCCATGTTCTCTCCTGGCTATATACCAACTGTTACATTCATCAAACACACTCAAGCTCTCTCAGGCTCCATTTTGCTAGGCTGAACAAGAACAGCTGTCTCATGATGCTTTTTGCAGCTTTTTTCAGTTTTGAATTAATCTTTCTTAGAGATGGATGAGCAGATCTGTATGTCTGCAGACTTCCAGATCTTACTCTGTGATTTCAGCAGCACCATGTCCAAGAGGCTGTGTAACAGAGACAGTATAGAAAACAGGAGAGAGGAGCAAGGGACAGGTGTAACATCTGACCTAAAGCAACCACATTCAGATATTTTGCATTGGTTCCAAGATAAAAAAGGAAAAAAACCAACCAACAAACCAAAACATTGACTGTAATTTTATATTGGTAACTGTCCAACTTTTGTGTAAAAAGTAAGCTGTTAAATTAAGAGAGAATACTAAAACATCTTTATTGTCAGCTGCACACTTTCACCATCTTTTGGCCTATGTAAGACTTGAAAAGTCAAAGGCATGTAGGCTTCTACATTCCCTTACACTTTCTGTATAGATATGCTCAAATAACTCAATGGTTAGTTCATTAAAATCATGTCTACCACCTTCTTTCTGGAGCCACATTAAGGATACCTTTCCTATAAAAAAGAAAGAAAGTACCTTCTTTCTGGAGCCATATTAAGGATACCTTTCCTATAAAAAAGAAAGAAAGTAGTAGCAGTTTTACAAATCAGTGGCTTTCCTCTGGCTCTCAACTTCTGTGGGTGAAAGCCCGTGCCTCTCATGTCACCCTACTGGCATGAGCCAGCCTGGCTGACTTAGTGGACAGGCTCTGCCCAACTATATCTTTATCTAGAGTAGCTTTCCTTTTAAGAAGATTTGGATTCAGCCTCATTTACATAGTTCAGGTGATGAATTGAAGATATACTATTCTTAGAACCGGTTCTAGCCAGCAAATAACTCAGCTGGCATGAGAGATTCTTTGGGAGTCAGGCAAAAAAAAGAACAACATAACCAAAAAACCTTTTATGTATGGTGCTCATATCAATAATCTACAGAGCTCAGGAGTGTAGGAGGCCAGATAGGCATGCAAGAGGGAAGAAAGTCTGCCTTGTCCCTCACAGTGAGTGGTCTGCAACATTGGTTTTCTGAGAGAAAGCAGGCCCTTGGCTGAGATCCTGGAAGATGAGGGTTACTATCTTAAATTCAACAGGTTTTGTTCCACTTTGGGGGAATAAAGCGAAGATTTCTGAGAAAACGAACCCAGAAAAATTGACTTTGAAGAACATTCCTTGGTAGAGAAACTAAAGCACTGGTCAGCAACAGTGCATGCTCGTAAGACCAGAGCCTGTCTTTTTTTGATACCCATGAGAAAAAGATTAAAGTTAATGTCAGACTTAAGGGAGAGCAAACCAAGAGGAAAGAACCTCTGAACCCAATGTACTAAGGCCTAGAACTTTTGCCAGCTCTGATATTAGATTTATCTTGTGGGGAAAAAACATTATGCAGATTTATCCCATGAATTCATTTGTAAACAGGTCTACAAACTGTTTCCTTCACAGAAGGACGAAAGAAAAGCTGAGAGGATCAGTCTGCTATCAGTGCCATAGGAATATTTCAGAAGCTTATGCTCTGTATCACCCAAAACACTCACAGCACCCACAACAGAGCTCTGGCTTCCTGCCATGCAATTGTTTATCAAACACACCTGACTGATAGCATGCAGAAAGAAACTTCTTGCTGCTTTTTTCCTGGCAGTCTCATGCTAACGGTTACTGAGCCTTTCACTTCCTCAAGCCCAAGCTAACAATGAAATGTGAAAGTATCTACCAGTATCATGAAAACATTTACCTTGCTATGATAAAAATGAGCAAGACCTAAGTTTACAAACTGAACTCAGATACAAACTCAGGGTTCTGTGTTACATCTCTGTGCCAGAGACATTCTGGGAGGATGAAAGGAGAAAAACAGCCCTGACACAGGACTGGGAGGTTTTACGATGTGCAGCATGCACGCTGTATGAGCATGCTCTGTCCCTATACCTAGGGAGGCAAACAGTGACAATTTTGACACCTATTCCACTGATGTGGCTTTTAGTCTTCTTCAACACTGCTGAATGGGCCAGAAAGCAGAGACTCCCTGGATCCCCTTTGCAATGCTCATACCATTCCTGGAACCTGAAGCATTGGGTTCTGCTTAGGCTACTGCAGGCAAGTGCCAGAGGTCAAGAGCCCTGGCATGATGGTAAAGTTCAGTCTGCTGCCCAGGCAACCAGGGTGTACTTTGACACGTTGCCTGTCTACCTCCTGCTCTGTATCCCTTCCAGGGTGCTCACAGTTCAGCTGTTTATTTTCTGCAAAAGATGCTAGGGACCTTTCTTAGTCAAAACAAAAGAATTCAGAATTAAACTCAGTACAATCATAACGTGAATAAATGGGCCAGGAAAAGTATTTCTCTGATTCCATATCTGCAAAGCTTTATCCACCTATGACCTGGTTTATGTAAAACTGTCACCAGCTTCTTATTATCCTGCCATAAAGGAGAAATCTCCTTTTAAACACCCTGCCTGGATGACTGACATCATTACTACAAACAGTAACAGTTCCACTGTTAAATTGGCAAAAGAAATTCTTTTTCACCAAGCACAAAAGGCACCTGTGAACTGACAGGCACCAGATGGGGGTACACAGTTTATGGAGCTGCCTGGCAGCACAGGAAACAGATTTCAGGGGTCATCTTTACCCACTTCTACTTAACTCATTTTTACATTGTGTGGCTGAGCCCTTTCTTTGCCCTGTTGATACTGTATTTCAATGGCTCATGCAGAAACAACTTTTTTCCTATAACTTCTTCTAAGTCCCAACATATTATGCATTCTACCATGCATTGTGATCCCATATTATTACAATGTGCCTGTATCACTCATTCTTTTTAAGTTTCCAGGTCCAGTAGGCATCACCGTATTCATATGAGAAGGCCATTTTCAAGACCCACTGAACAAGGGAGCAAGTAAAGACCACCACCGTTGCATAAGAGCAATTTAAAATAACCTCAGAACTTTCAGGGGCTGAGATGCATTTTTTGGAATATTTTGATTCAGCCAGAGTTGGAACTGCAGCACTCTGTGCTACTACATGGCAGGAATTAATCCTGTGTTACAAACATGGAAAGTGTATATAACACCCTTCAAGATTTACCCATAAGAATTCATGACTCTAAAAAGCCTACCATTAACCTTCCTGAAGATGAACTCCTTGCATCCATTACTCCTGGGATACTGTCCAGCTAGTATTCACTGCACCTATCTCAGTTCTCACGACAGAGGGCTGTGATCTGAAGCACCAGCATGTTTCATCGTCTGAGCAGAAGACAGTGTTTTCAGAATAGTTTCAGAAAAATTCAGAGTAACTGACGTGTGTTCACAGGGATTACCCAGTCAGTTGTACTGGATTTGCACTGTGTACCACTGCTGCTTATATGTGGAACTGATCCTTAACACCTTTTTTTGGGCAAATATTCCTCTGCAATAAAACTGTTTTCCTTTTCAGGGCAATTCAAGATGTTTACATGTAGAAGAACTTCATGTTTAGATATAGAAGGAAAGTATACTTAAAGTGCTTTGCATTTCTATACGGTCAGATTGGCATTATATGAAGCCTAGAACACCAAGTTTACTCCTTTTTGTTCTCCTTCCTCTATATATACTTAATTTTCTGAGATGGACTGGAGTGATAGCTGTATATTCTTCTGTACTGGGTCTACTCCTGAACAGAAATCTCTGATTTCTCCCTGTAAGGTCAACCCAACATATAGGAAGTGCAGGGTGTAATACTGTGTTTGAAATAGATATTGAACCTTTCCTGCTTCAGTGGAGTTCTACATTCTGCAAAGTCAGCCAGAGGGAATTTAAACAGAGTTAGAAATGTGTATTTCTAAAAAAATCTGTACCTTAGGAAAACTTCCAAGACCTGACAGTTCCAAAGGCTGTATTTAGGGATGCATAAAATAGTAAGTGGTCTGATCTAACACCAAAGTTAACCTGAACCATTTTAAAGGTGTTTTCCATGGCTTTTATAATTCTTTTCCCCTGATCCAAGACACATCTGGTTCTAGTTGGCACCAAAAGATAGACATATTTAAATGACATGAAAAAGGCTGATCTTGTATTTCTGTCTTGCTGAGAGACAGGAAGTACTAGAAATCTCATAAAAAAGGCTGTTCTCCTTGGAAATCCAGCCACTTTTTACATGGTCAAGTGATTTACATAGCTCAGAGAAGAATTCAAATTTTTGTGTTAGCTGAACTGACCCTCTCAACCTCCAGAGGCTCATTCATCACTAGGTAGAGGTTACTAGAAGGCATTGGAAAGGCTGCTCAGTCTTACAGCCAGCCATGGAGTTCTTGATCGCTTGTGTCCTTGCTCTTTCAGAAAATCCAATAAATGGAATAGTATTTAAGAAAACTTTTTGACAGGGAAAAGAAGTGGTGCATTACTTAAGATGCTACAGAAAGAAAACTGGTCCAAATCTTGCGATTCCGCATTAATCTTTACTTTTACCTTACTCAGTCAAACTCTTGTTTCCAAGGTAGATTTGAGTAGAGGTAATGACAATATGAACTCTGGGACTGCTGGACATTTAGCAGTATTACTGCAGTTCATCTACAGAAAACCCTATAGTCATAAGGCATATTTTCCATAAATGTGGTAGTGATATCGCCCCTTTCATATTTATGCAGAACTGGATAGCAAGTGTTTAAGATCTAATGAAAACCAATAGAAATGAGTTGCTGCAGCTACTTATAAAATGATACATGGTTTTTAAGTGGCTTTAACACTTTTGAACATTCAACCCATGAGCCACTTCTACAATGATACTACAAGGTGATGGTGATGCATATGCACTTAGTGTCTTCTTTCACAAAAGGAAAACCTGAAACCAAAGCTTGCCATGGCCACGAGGAAAGGCTCACACTGAATTCAGAAATCAAACATCCTTGCACACATTTTCATGCTCAGACCATGCTTCTCTTTATGTCCTTACTACATCCACAGTAAAAGGCATGCCTACCACTGAAGAAACAGTGATGTTTCACAAGTCTTACTTTTCAGTAGGTTCTGCTGGCTTCTTTGTGGCAGATCAAAACTCATAGCATGTATTGGAAGACTGTGTTAATACTTTAAGTATGCAAAAAATATTTTGTGAAGAATGTATTTGCTTACCTTTTTGATCCTCTTTTTTCCCTTCCAATGCTGATGCCTTCTCTGATGAAATACCATTATCTCCACTGGCTTTTAGCACATTTTCTTCCTGTATGGTTTCTTCACCAATGGCTATGGTGTGTCCATTTGAAGTTTCAAAATTTACTGTTACATCACCATCTGAAATGAAGATTAAAAAGCTGTTGCCTAGTTTAACTGCTTCCTTAGCACCTATTAACAACCCACAGCATCCCTGTGCTTTCAAGTTTCCATGGAAGCAAAGCAGAAAGACTTACTCAGATGTGAAACATCCAGGCGGCAGATCTGATCTGAAAAGTAACTCTGTAAAGGAACTCTATAGGCTTCCACATCCTCTAGGTGGATACCTCTGCAGTAGTGGGCCTGGAAGTGCATGTAGGTTTTCAGGTCCAGCTTTGCATCTGTACACATTAGTGTCCCGTTCTCTTCCTCCCTGCACCTTCATTTACACAGCAAAGAAATGTGTGCATGGACCACAATGGAGCTGCAATGTCTTCCAATATGCCCCAAATATAGGCAACTCAGGGGCAGAATTGCATGACTACTGTGGTGCATCCCCGCAGGTAAACCAGTCAGGAATTCAGACAGAAGTTCTCAGAATATGTGTGCTCAGTTAATGAATTCAAGAATCAAGGTGAAGTCTTCCTGCATCCTGCATCACACACCATTATTACATTCTGCATTAAATTCTTTCCCAGCTCTGATGATATTTTACTCACCCAGACTACCTCAAATACAAAGTTCTTTTTAAAACCTGAAAAAAAACCTTCTTTCCATTTTTATTTTTCTCTATATTCCTGAAAAATGCCACAGACTCTTGCCGGTTCACAGCTTGCTTTTGTCCCATATTTACTGCTTTCTGTTCTCTTTGCTATGATTTTCTTCTCTGGTCATTTCTAAGGCTTCCTATCCTTGGCTGCTCATGCCCCACCTGCAGTTAACCCAGATGACTGCTTTACTTTTGCAGAATTCTACTGATGGCCATGCAAAAATTACGCAAATTGACCGGCATCTCTTCTGGTTTCTCCTACTGATTCTGCATTAATTGTGGTAAATCCACTCTCCTCTTCTCCTCTTCCTTGCTGTGCACTATCAGACCTGGATGTTTGGCATTTCTCTGGTTTCAGTACAACTACGCAGCCTCTCTCTTACCACCTCAGGTGCTCCACGGGTTAAGCTGATGGCTTCATTCTCACCCATACACTGACTTCTACTTGATCTGTAAAAACTAAGTTCTGCCTTCTTAACTTTGTCTCATTCACTCTAAGCTGACAGTTGCACAAGGCTTCCTTCTTACCTTACCATAACATTCAATTTCTTTAGCTTCTCTCTTCCAAATGTTCATAAATCCATTACTTCCTCTCTGCTTCTGCGTATGGCACTTATTTCTGTCATGGTTCCGCAAACACCTCCTGCTTCCAAAGTGGCACTTGCCATTTTCCACTTGGTTGTTCTTCATCAGCATGAAACACTGTCACTTCTTATTTCTTACCTCTCACATTTCAAAACTCCATGCAATTTCTTCATTTAGCTAGTATCTCCAGTCGTTCCTTCTAACTGCCTTCGCACTGCTCAACAACCATCTTTCTGTATCTCCATTTTTAGCATCTTCAAACCAATTCTATATTCTTTCAAAATGATCCTTAAAAAACTGTAATTTTCATAAGACATGGAGTACAGCACGATGAAGGCAACACCGACTGGATCGACAGCCTTCTTAAGATGGGAGGAAGGAGAGAAAATTGTTCATCTTTATGTCCTTTTCTCACTTTGCTCAACCTCCATAAGGGACCAAATTCCATTTTAAGAATGGAACAGAGGGTCAAGGACACTGATGACCAAAGCATACATACTTTTAGCACAAATTATATTATTTATGTTCAGATTGTAACCATCCTGAAATGTTACCACATTTCATTAATTATCCCAGCAGTCCAAATGCAATTTACAACCCTCAATGGACAAAGTGAGGCAGCTCCCCAGTAAAGCAGATAGTAAAACATCACTAATTCACAGATGGGCAAACTGAGGTATGGAGAAACTACATGTCTTGTTTTAAGACAAAGACAGTGGCAGAGACAAATTCAGAAGCCAGCTATGCTGAATGTCATAGTCTGGTAATTATCAAAACACTGCAAAGACAAGTGATGTCACATGTCAACAAACAAGCCCTTTACTTCTATCAATGTGTATGATATGAACCATACACACTGATTCTTTCAGTATTCTTCTGCTCAGGAAGAGTAACACAATTTCTAGGAGAAAAATAATTCTGGAGATCATGGAATTCTTATACTCCCTCATAAAATGATAAATGGCTTAATTTCAAGCTACAGAAAGTTATTTTACTCACTTGACTTTTATTTGATCTTACAGAAGGTCATAGAATCACAGAATGGTTTGGGTTGGAAAGGACCTTAAGATCATGTAGTTCCAATCCCCCTGCCATTAGCAGGGATGCTTCACACTAGACTGTGTCTCCCAAGGCTCTGTCCAGCCTGGCCTTGAACACTGCCAGGGATGAAGCATTCACAGCTACTTTGGGCAACCCATTTTAGTGCCTCACCACCCTTACAATAAAGAACTTCTTCCTTATATCTAACCTAAACTTCCCCTGTTTAAGTCTGAATCCATTACCCCTTGTCCTATTTCTGTAGTCCCTGATGAAAAGTCCTTCACTGGCATCCTTGTAGGCCCCCTTCAGATATTGGAAGGCTGCTATGAGGTCTCCACACAAGATCAAGAATATTAGAAAGAATACCATTAGAAATATAAACAGATGTAGCACAGAGGTATTAACTATGGCTTACTTGTGTTTTTCAAAACACAAATTTTGGTTAATATCAGTTTCTCAACCTTACAGCATTTTGAAACAAATGGCATCTTCCCCACAGGTTTACGTCTGTGCCATTTGTGAATGTGGTCTGCGTGATAGTGGTAGGATCTATGCGACCCCAGCACTGGTACTTTTTGATATCTGAAATGGATGCTATTGATTTGCTTGGGGTTCCAAAGCCTCTAATTTTTCAGAAAAGATTTTTGACATTATAGTCGAGTTGCTTTAGGCAGCAGACCTTGACTCAAAAAACATGTTAATCACTACCTCCAAAATATTCTGTCAAACAGTAAGTAGAAACCACAAAGGTCACATTATTTACAGGGAGCACCAAAATAGTTAACGGCATGACCAGAAGTCTTGTGATATACCTATGGCAGGAGTTACAGAACACAAATCTCAACTCCAACTTCAGTTCTTTGTCAACTGGCCCAAAGACCCTCTCACACTCATCTTTGTCTCTGCATACCTATTTACACTACATGGAAACAATGCAATAGTGGTTTTATTATCCATGTTTAGCACTTAGTAGCTAAGTTCTAGTTAACATGTTATCACCTTGCTCTGGCATTTCCTTCAGCACTCCCCTTCTTATCAGCTCCTCTCTGCTTTGTCTTGTCGAAATCTTCCTTTCCAACACTAAAGAAAAAGCACAGTTAAGAATAGATTTATTCTCATACTGCCAATGCCTGTGAAATAGGTACAAAAAGATTTTTATTGTATAGTAACCTTGAGAAATCTCATTTCCTGTGATTCTGTAGAAGTAGTCTGGGTTTTCATGAATGCCCTTTGAAAGTATTGCTCCACACTTTCAGGCACAGAAGGTGAGGATTTATATGATCCAGTATCTTCAGCTGAGCAAGACTCTGTGAGGCTTCTTTTCCAGTCAATGGAAAAAGGTACTTCCCAGAATGAAACTGAACTCACCCTAGTGTAGGAATTTAACACGTAAAAGCATCTCTTTCCCATGGACTGGATTGACTAGCTTAGCTGGAGATACCTCCTTCTGCTTTGTAGATGTTTTGAGTTGGGAGAAAGACAAATCCTGCTCAGAGGAAGCAACTCATGGAGTAGCCTTTGTGCAGCAAACTGTTTTAAAGGGAAAAAAAAACCAAACCAACCAAACCTTAAAGAGAGGCTAGAAAGTTGTGCTCTAAAAGGAAATAACATCCAGGCTGGTTGGCTTTCATGGAAAAAAATACAGCATCCTGGTTTTAGTTTAAGAAAAAACTCAACATACATCAGAAAATTAAAAAAAAAAAAAAGAAAAAAAAGTGTGTCATGAAGCATTTTAATTATTATGTTTATTTCCCATGGAAAAAAATACTAAATAGTTTTATACGGAAAAGTGTTTACAGATGGCAAAACATAATAGGCGCCCACTGCACCCCACCCCTAAACCAACATCAATTTGCTCAGTGATCTGGGAAGCTACCATAATGATCCATGAAACAATGGTGCATGGACCATAAAATGTGAGCATCACTTGTAAAATCCTGTCTTTGCTGTTAGGAAAAGTTAATCTTCTCACCCTGATCCTGTTTACACACAGACATCAAAACCCGAGTGATGTTTGGAGCTCAAACTGAGGGCATGCAGCAGAGCTTCAGCCAGCTATACTTTACCCTACTAATTCTATGGGATAGGGTTATTTATGTCATCAGATAATTCAAACAGCCTCTAGGGCCAGTCTAACTGTTGCATGCAGATTAAATACTGCAACAACTACTGTCGATCTCACTTGCACCAGCCCAGTTGGAAGGAACACCCATACAGTGAAGTGGTGGCTCCTGTGAAGGCACAGAGAGAGGCAGTTTGGCTCTTTTGAGAAAGTTACCCTCCATGCACAGCAAAACGTCTTTCCCTGCAGCAACTCAAAACCAGGCTGGCTGACCTCAGATGTTTGATGACGGCACTGCTCATGGCTTTTTACTCCCCCTCTCCACCATGGAAGGGGACAGTTGATCAGAGGGTGAAGCAGATTCTGTGCATTGAATTTATGTCTCACACTGCAAAGTGAGAGGATTCAGCAACTGCATCAATAGGATGCATTTCCCTGCCAAAATAGCACCAGCTCCAGGCAGCAGAACTGGGGGCAGTAACCATCTTGACTGGCCCAGATCAAACTACCTGTGCCTGAGAGATCAAGAGCTCATGAATGCAAACAGTACTGGCTCAAGAACATGTAAGTTGGCATTAGGTCAGTGTTTGTATACTTGAGCACTTTGTGGGATCTGTCTGTTAAAGATCAAATCTTCACGCCCTTCAAATCACATCTGACAATATAAAGGAGCCCATGACTGTGGCTGCAGCCTCTCAGTAAAAGCCAGGCACCTTGGGGAGAGTGTGGTAGCCTAAACACAGATCAGGGTAGACTGGGTCCCAATTTTAAATGATGCAGGAGCTCTTCCAGTTTTTCTCCATTGTTTTTTAAGGTATGTGCTTTGTAACTGTGTGTCACACATTGCCATGGCAAACAAAACACAGGAGCATGCCCTGTTCTTGCAAAGGGTTTTTAATACAGGTGAACATTCAGTCCAACAAAGACTGCTTTAAAAGAGATGAGGGGCCATGAAATCAGAGGACTATGTGGGCAGGCACAGATGGAGGGTCTTAATCTTTCTGGAAAGGTGTACTTTCCAGCAGAGTGAAATCTCCTTTGCCACAGACCCCAGCGATGAACTCTTTATGCATATACTTTATATCCCTTTTGTTGTTTGGAATACAAGTATTCTCTTATTTCAGCTTTACAAATATTATTGACTTCCTACTATTCTTCCTCTCCTCTTCCATTCCACATCTCTCTTCCTGGGGACAGTGAACTGAGATGGTCTCTCATATATTTATTTGTAGGACTTACTCCAATACAACTTGAAAACGATGATGACCTTTACATGAAGTTCAAGAACACGGAATCAGACCCCACGTCAGTGTCTCTCTAGTTTTCAGGATGATATATTTTTTCAGTTCTACAATACTGAATGAATTATCATGGAAAATGTCAACTGGCATTAAAAGACATTAACTGCTTACATTTTTACTGGAAGAACCTTAAAGCATTTTATCAACATTGCATAGGTTTTGTAATATCCCTTAGACATAACTATTGCCATTTCACAGATTAGAAATTTATGACCAGATAAGAAGCTTAAGACCCAATCTTTCATCATCCAAAATGCTAGCCATGAGTAGAGTTTTATTTAAACTGATTAAGCTCAGTTAATTCAGCTTGAAAAGATAAGTTATTTAGAATACTATTTGGCCCATGGAAAGAACATTAGAAATCATGCTAGTATCACTATGAGTGCCTTCATAATTTTATTTCCTACAAAGAAAAAGGAAGAATTTTAATTTAAATCAAAGTGTCCACAAATATGTCTCCTTCAATAGAATAATGAGTAGCCTGTCTACTTATGAACCTACACTGCGTGCTATTTAGCCAGGGTGGACTCATCATTATAATTTATTGCTTATTACAGACTTTAGACTATACAAGATGTTTAAACAGACAAGTATGTTGACTATCACAGCCCAATTGCACTGAGCTCCAGAAGACTCAAAAAATCCCATGTAAAAATCCTTCCCCTACTGCAGTCAAAAGCAAAGCTTGACCTGACTTCAGGTGTAACTGTCAGAAATAAGGTGCATTTGTAACACTGTATGCAGCCCTCATTTACTTGAGTAAATCTTACTCACCCAAGGGATCCCACAAACATTTGCATTTTTAGCCCAATATAAATAACAGTTACACTAATCATAAGAACAAGTCACCTCAAAAAGCCATTTTCATCCCTCTCTCCCTACCCACATAAACCGTAGGCAGTCTTAAAACTTATTCCCTGACTCAAAGAATGTTGTGAGATTCTGGATATTCTCCAGCCTTTAGTTTTGCTCTTCCAAAAGAAGCTTGAGAAATTGGATTTTTAATTTTTCTCTGACCTAGGAAGAGCTAAAATTGCCTTCTGCTCCCTGTCTGTATATACTCTTGCTGTAGAGCTTTGAAGTGGCATCCACTTCGTGCCAAGACACAAACTGCTGCTTTCTTTTCCTTCACAGGAAAACATTGCAGAGGGGATAAACCCTTGAGATGATGCCATTTACTGTTTGTTTTTACTTAATTTTGAAAGCCCTCTAGGCATAAAGTATACAGCCATGCCCAGAGAACAGATTTTCTGAGATACAGCATGGAAAATATGTTGCTAAAGGAAAAAATTCCAACCATCATTCCCACATTGGGAACAGATACTTTCACATTTAGTCCCCCATATTTTTTTGATGTCTGTGGCATTTGCTGTTTCTGAACATCTTTCAGTTGCTACCATAAGGGACTCACATGAGATCTTGTGAAAGCACTGCATGGTACATGCCCTGGCAAGGCTGGAGCAGGAAGCTATTTCAAAAAGCCTACTGAAAACTCAGAGAAAGCAGTAAGAGTTTTTTCCAATAGCCTGCATTCTGTGTTAGAAGAAACTCTTTCTTCAGATGCACACAGATTTATCAAGTTGTAGCCCTGTTAAGAGAATAGGCAATAAATATGCTGATCATTGTACTGTCTCCCATGGTCTCAGGCCTGGAAATGGGCTTCCTGCATGTAAGATGCACGCACGCACACATACACACAGACCTCCCATTCTGTAATGCAAACAAATCTCTGATCGAGCAGTCTGAGGAGGAGGATTTTCTGTAGTATTTTTATTTTCTATGGGTTTTTTCCCATTTCTTTCTCAAGTTAGATAAGCAAGTTTCTTCTTCTGTGTTAAGTATCACTCAACAAGGGTCAACTTGAGAAGTAAATGCACACTCTCTGTCTGTTGGGTCCTGAGTCTGTTTCTTCAAGAAATATAGGGATAACTATTGTTTTTAATTCCCCTCCCCAAAACTACTATCTGAGGCAGGATGAATGCAACCAAAACTACTTTTAATTTCAAATTCCAGCCTCACATGAAGCACATATACAAACATAAGTAATTCTATACCTTACATACGTAAAGCTTAGAAGCAGATAAGTATCTCATTACAGCTCTAGGCCTTCCTGACAGTAAAATAGTCCTCAAGCATTTAAAGATATACTTTCACTGCAAGCTAACCTGATTTGTGCTGAAAAGTTACAGCTCATTCATGGTGCAGCTGAGGCCAGCACCCTGTCTGTTTCTGGGATTTCTGGGGACACAACCCTTACCTTACTGCTGTAGAACAGTACAATTTATACCTAGTATTCTCTATAAGGAAATATGTGGGGAATTAATCTGCATTTCTAGCCAAGACAGAGGAGAAACTGGAGGGCACTGGAAGTCAACACAAACTACTCTGGATCACTCCTATGAGCACTAGCAGTACTAACACTGGGTAACCAGCTTGAATGAAAGTTATGTAAAGGCCATAGCAGGCTGATGGCAGAGGCTGGAAAGTACAACCAGGCTTGGGAGAAAACATGTGTCTTGTATGTAGATAGGAGAGTAAATATCAGTAATGCTTAAGCAAGACTATAAACTATATGTGCCTTAAAGAGGTACTCTAAATCCTTACTCTGTCAGTCAATACTTCCATACATTCTTCTTTGTTAACGTAAAAGCTCTGGGAACTGGTCTTGTGCCACTTTCGTATTTCCAACTGCCTGAATTTGCAGGTCACAACTTAGAGAATCAGAAGGGGCAAAACTCTCACATGAAATTAAAACTCTTATGATATGATAATAATTTGGGAACCTTTCATTTATTTTAAAACTCATCCTGTCCAGATTTACTTTCTTTTCATCTCCCCAGCTTAGAAAGCCAGTCTTGCTGTTTCTCAGGTTAAAGTCAAGATTTGCAGGTATTACAAAAATCCTAGTTTCAATTTAAGAAAAGAAGCACTGAAAATTGCGATGGTCAATGGTTGACAAAACGCATGTAAACTGGGACATACGAATACAAGCTGATATGCTGAATGCACAAGATGATACCAAAGTTTTGAAAATCTGAAATGAATTCCCCACATTGCTATATTTCTATAATACCACCTAAATAAATAAGATTTTACAGTGTAGCAGGATAGATAAGCAGAACATTATTAAAAACAGAGGAGATATACTCCTTTAGAAAAAGAAAAAAAATTAATCTACTGAATAATGGGAAAATATCAGAAGTTCCCAAATCTCCTATAAAATATCTTAAGTTCTGTTCACCAAGACATGCACTAAATTTTGCATATTTAGTCTTCACACACCATTTAGACACTGAAATACTGTAGTTTCTATAAGAATGGCTTTGTGTTTTATTAGCTATTTTGTATTATGTTATTAAATATAATTGCAGTCCTTAATGTATAAAAGCTCGCTATGTACTACACTGATGGCTATCTAGTAGGATGCTAGCTAAACAATGAAGTAAATAAATTAAAGCTTTTTCAGGATAATTTAAGTCTATATAGATGATAGTTTTAGATACACAAGATACATGAAGCGTTTAGGGAATCAATTACATTAGTTGCTTTTTTGACACAAAGGACTATTAAATATAAAGTCTTGCGACTGGACTTAGAGCAGAGATTTCAGTTAGTCATCTAAGTGTTACATTCTCCTACATTGAACTTTTGCCATCAGCTTTAGCATTTACAGAGATATTTCATTGTGCAGATAATTAACTTCCACTTTTCAATACATAATTATAAATAATCATATGTTCAATTGACCAAAAGAGCTCCCACTTATATGATCTATGGACTATACTTATCTTTCAGCATTGACTCTGTTCTTCTGCTAATTTGCAGTGGAAATTCTCCTCACTCACATGTATTTCTGTTTGCACACTGTCGCTCCCCATTTTCAAGAAAACACTGATCACAGAAATAAAGCTTTGACTTTGAAAAACAGACAAGGAGGTCTATATTACTCTTTTAGTTCCCAGACTTGAAATGCACTGCTGCAAAACCACAGCTAAAATGAAAAAAAAAACCAGGTTGTCTAAATTTTAAGAAGTCATCCAAAAGAGTGGGTCTGTTTTTCCTCTCTGCTTTAGCATGCTTTATTTATAGTAATCACATTTGATAGTAATTACCAAGTGGTAACCTTCACAGGATAGTTAAAACTACTACTTGTTCAGTTTTGCTGGATTTGTTTTTAGCTGATCAGGTTTGTGATCTGTTCATCTGTTCACTGGTGCCAGTCCAGAGGCAGTGGAAGCAGATAGATACAGCTGAGAGAACTGGGAAGACAAATTACCACTTGAAAACTAGTTTTGAGGTAGGTAAGATGGATGCTGCTTCCCAGTAATGACCTCTGTCTTAAGAGTAATAAATACACTGGGAGCACACAGGGCAAAATCAGACTCAAAATGTAAAACATTACACATACTCTGCTGTAATGTGATTAGCACCTTAGCGCTGATGGTCTAGGCATATAAATGCAGCAAGGTTCAGGGAGAGAAGTAACAACCTTCACTACTAACTAGTGTGGCTGTACAGCATCTGAAAAAGATAATTTGTGACTCAAAGTTTGTTTATTTGTATCTACAGCATAGTTTTAAAGCTGAATTTTAATTACAGTTCTGAGATTAGTTTGTTTTCTGTCCATTACAGCTACTGCTGGGCACTTCCATTTTTCAGGTGCTCACCTTGAAATAAATTGTCCTGAGTAAGTCCATCTGAAGTCAGTGCAATGGGAACCATGGGTTCTCCACACCCCTGAAAGGACTTGAGGGACCACACCATCATAAACAAGACAATCAAATTAAGTACACACAAGTAGCTAAAGAGGCACTTTTGGAAATCTTGTCCTTATTTTCTTCATTTTGTAAAAGAAATACAAACACATGACTTGCTTTGGTATTACAAGAACTGATGCGGCATGCTTGTAAAACTAGATTGAGTCCCTCTAAAGCCAGTACAATGGAAGAAATACTGTACTTAACATGAATTTACCAGACATTCACTTGTAAAAAAACTCTGCCAAATGACACATGCATTATTATTTAATAGCATAACAATTTAACATAATGCTAATATGTTGTGACAGTTTGAGGAATCTCTCACACAGCATATGAATGGTGATTATTCTGAAGAATTCAGTGCATATAAAATCACATACCTGTCCAACAGCAGCTGCAGAACATCCAGGAGTCATTAACTAGAAATAACTTTGCTCTAGCAATATGATAAAAGTACTGAGGAAGCTGAAGGAAACCGAAAGCAATGAAGGAAATGTCAGACTGAGGGAATGTCTTTGATTGCAGCAGCGGAAGAAGTTGTGGGGGTTTTCTTGCAGGGTATGCAGGAAAATTTAAAAAAAAAACAAGAAAAAAAGAGAGAGACAGGAGGATTTGAAGATCCCAGAAAGGCTGTCCAAGACTTCAGCTGGTATCTGGAGTGATGAAGACACCAGAGAAGACATTTTCTTTTTGCTTTTTTTGTGTAAAGAAAATATGGTTTAGAAGTTAACTTGTAAAACCAGAATGTTCCTTGTAGTAATTGCCAGAGGCTGGTACACTGTTAAAATGTCAAGCAGTGTACTCCTAAGAGTTCAGGAGACACTGATGATGAGACCTTAGGAGACTAGTATTGATTTTATTGCCTAGAGCCATGGAAGACAGTGGACAGAGGGCTTGCACTGTGGTAATGAATCTGAAGAGCTCATAGATGCTCACTGGACTCTGAGTTGACTCAAGTTTACAAAAGCACAGCACCAAGTGTCTGAATCCCAAAACAGAAATTTGGGATTTTTTGGAGAAAGCTCGGACAGAGCTGTGACACACAAAGACACACACACATATATGCAGGGTAGTGTTCAGTTTCCTAAACTTGGGTGTCTACAGCCACTTGAGATGCCCCATAGTTTTGGAAATGTCTGTACAGAAATGGCAAGTATGATACAGAGCCTTCTGGGGAGCAGCCCAGAGCATCTCAGGTGGCACCAGGCAACTGTGTTTAGCTAACTGAATCCCAGCCCTCACATATTCCTCTTTTTCAGAAGGAATATAATTCAATCGCAGTATTTTATTTCAGACCATTCTTCAAGCCTTGCCAATGGGGGACTGAAGGGGCAGAACAGCTTGTATGAAGGCAGTGGTGACAAAGCTGATCCTCATTCTTCTGCTGGGCACAGCTGTGTCTGCTTCTCTACCTCCAAGACAGACCAAACTTCTGTCCCCATGAAGGCAAGGTCTGTTTCATAATGTAAGACACTGACTATTAGGAGGACATAGGGGCATTTCCAACATATCTGAGAACATGTAATATACAGCCTAGTGTTTCTTGATTAAAAAACAGAGTACTATCAACATTGAAAGAATATCACATATAATGTAGAGCAAACAAATAAACTTCATATTTTTGGTGATAAGTTCAGAAAAGAAGCTGAACAAAATGACGTTTTTAACTTGCTAAGGATCAAACTTTTTCTATGTCAAATACTGTGCCTAAACAATCCCTGCCATCTAAAAAGCATCAAGAGCTTTTCAAATATTAATCTGTAAAGCCATCACAATGTTTCCTATTCTTTTCCACCAGAAGGCCACAGACATACCTGCTGACGTTTCTCTGAATTTGTCACTAGTCTTCTTCTTCCGCCATTTCCAAGGTTTAAAGATTTTGCCAATGGTGGAGAGTTTGCCCTTCCTCTTGAAAGGGGGAGTTTGGGATCCTGGGGCTGGTCCATCCGAGTTAGCGACTGAAGCCTTATCCAAACCATCAACTGTATAAACAAAAAAAGTAAAGGTAACTGGAGGATGGAAAACAAAATGGTACCTGACAGCTAAACTCCTCCACTATCAGACTGCAGCAGGCTGTGTTTGGATCCATGTGATTTCTGTTCCAGTTGGCAGCCAAGGGCCATTCAATTGCAGCATGTGGTCAGAACCCAGCCTGCACCCTACCTAGCCCTGGGCTCTGATGCTGCTCAGCACCTCAACTGCAGCAAGCCAGAATTTGCTTCTAATAATGTACATCTGGCAGGTCTGCATAGCACTGTGGTTTTCCACTGCTACTGGAGAATTTCTTTGAACATATATTTGGGTGACTTTTTCCCTGCCTTTGGCAAAGCTGAATAGCTGTCACCGTATAGAAAACAAAACCCTTGCAATGTAAAAAAGAAATGATTCCTTTTGAATGAAACAAATCCTTTCTTGAATGAGCTCTAAAGATAATTGTTCTGGAAGTGCAATGAAAGTAGGTCTCTTTGATATCAGTGGTAATCAGTCATTCACAGCACAGCCTGCCATGAGTCAGGTTTCTTATTAACAAAACATATTTAACAATAAGCTTTTGAGCTATAGCCAAAATTTAACAGAGGATTACTTTTCTGCAAAAACATACTGGGTGATATGAAAGACAATATTTATCATCAATGGCTGTAACAACTGAGTTTTGTGAACCAAATTAAGACCCATTCCACAACATGCTGTAGCATACAGTTAAAGTAAGTTTCGTAGACGTTTCCCTGAGAAGTCTACTATTATTTATTTCTACTTTAGAACTGAGGTTTCTTAGAGCCTTCCATTCATGGACCTGCAAACACTTCAAATGTTCTTAATTTTATTCACGTGAGCAGCTTCACTGCAGTAACTGCTGTTACTTACGTACATAAAATTAATCACACTTAAATGTTTGCGGCATACGGACTCTGTAATTGCTTTCATTCATCTAAACATTCTAATTATAACCAATTCGGAACAGAGTTGATGCCACTCTGAACAGTAATAACGATAATCATAGATCATTAAATCAAAAAGTGCTGTTCAAAGAAGGAAATATCACTGTCCCCATTTTACAGATGGAAGATATGAGGCACAGAACTGTTAAGTGCTTAATTTTATGTTTGCCAAATGGCTTCCTGAATCCTGGTCCTGTGTCCTAGTTGCTAAAAAGATACATATTCAGACACATAACATCATTGTACAATCTTGTTATTCTGTTTCTCAGACAAATGGCATTTAATGAGTCCTATATTTGTCCTAGACTTTAGATTGATACAGGATGCTACGAAAAAAATATCTTTCCTGTGAGAAAGCTGATGTAATGCAAACTGAGTCCAAACTTTACTTCCAATGTTTTGAAATAAAGTACTGGGAAAAAAGATCTATTGTATACCTTCATTCAAGTCTGTGGAGTTAAAACCAGAGATAAATTTGTATGAAAATGATAGCATTTAAATCAATAAATCTCAGTTATACCATAAAATGTAAATTCTGCACTGTCAGAGAGAAGGACCAGAGATATGGAATGCTTCTCCATGACAAATTACTGTTATTCAGATGGATTGGAATTTAAAGCATTTATTTGAGTGATTGCCTTGGGTATTTTCTGATCTGTAATATGGAGATAAGATGAAAGAAAGTCATGCAAAAGGATTTGAAATGTAAAATCCAAGATTATGGCTAGGACTCAGGTATGTCTAACCCTTGAGAGAGTACTAAACCCCATCTTCCTCACTTGTGCACCCGAGAACAAGGCAATATTCAGGGAGGTATACTCCGAGACTCCCTTAAAACCAGCTGCCACCCTACACACCCTGAGAAGTCAGGTGAGGGGTGGGGATGAGAAGACCACCAAAGGCAGCAAGCAACTCTGCAGAAAGAGAGGGGTATGGGACAGCAGAAGGACCCTGGCAGGGGTGCCTTGCCTGGAATTAGGGATTGCTCTGTGGTTTAGGCTTACAGACACTGTTTATGGAGGGCAATTCCCTATGGAATACAGATGCCTCTGCTGAAAATAACGAATCTAAGGAAGTACATTTACTTGAAGGGTAGTTACAAAGGAAGAGAACTAAACTTCTCTTGGCAATTCCAACTTACATAAGAAGGGACAAGGACCACAACTTGTGGCTGGGAAATGTCCACTGAGTTGTAAGGAAAATGCTTCCAGGAGATGGGTGGTGCAGCACTGGAGCAGGTCTTGAGAGGTTTTGGAGGCTCAGTCAGGCAAGCCAGGGCTGACCTCACCTAATGTTGGTAATAGCCCTACTCTGAGTGAGGGACTGGACCAAGTGACCCCCAAGGTCTCAATCAAGATTTCCATGGTCCTAAGGGATGTGGAAAGACACAATTGCTCTGTGAAATCAGCGTTAGTAAATCCAAAGAATCAGAAGTGAAGTGATGAAGAAAGGACACAAGGATCTGCTGGCTGAAAAGTTTTGTCCTGGGACAGGAGCCAAGCATTATCTCACTGGCAGAGGCAGTCCATCAGCTCATTAGAGCAAAACGCTACCCGCCCCTTGGAGGCAGCAGGACAAAACCCATATTCTTGTCTCCAAACAGCTTAGAAAGGCTGGGTTACTGATGTGAAGAGCCTGCACCCTGGTGACAGACAGCATGGTCTTTATGACCACTAGAACATAGATCTTTTCAAATGCACTGGGGTCATGGAGTCCAGCTTATTGCAGGCAACCACTTCCACAAAAGCCTCATCTATATTTTTTCCTCCTGTGCCTACCAGCAGGAATGGAGGAGGATTATAGCTCCAACAGCTCCCCACAAAGAAACATGGAGTTGCATCAGTCCCTGCTCTGCCCTCTGCTGAAAATACTTAACTCTGAAATAATGATATTCATCCTAGCTAAAGAAATCTGCCTGCTTCGAATGAGCTAACATATGAAAAAGGATCCATTTAGTGATGAACAATTCTGTTCAGGAAGACTGCCACTTCTGAAAACAGAATTCAAGAATAACTCCTTCCGACAGTAAAAGAGGAGGAATTGATTTATCAAATGAGTTCAATAAGTCATCATAATTGAAAATTTACTAATCCACTGACCTTATACAAGTTCCTTCATTTGAAAAAAGGACTCAAATATTGATCTGGAAAGGAGCAATAAGCACAGCCAAACATCGCAGATTGACTTTAGAAATAATCTAAGACAGAGTAACATTTCTAGGAAAAAAAGGCTTATTTATATTCAAAAGCAATCATAAAATAACACATTTTACCAATTACTAAACTGCCTAGAAAAAAAAAAACAAAAAACAAAACCCCCAAACCAAACCAAATACAAGTTCAGCAACGACATTCCCGAGCATTTATGGAAAGATCTTTTCCAAAGCTATTACTCCTCCTCTCTGAAACACTCAGCAGCAAATCGATTATTTGCTTTATATGTCAAGTATTACCTAAAAATAAAGCAGTGTATTTTTCACCTCGGAGAGCTTGTGTACCTTCTATTAATCATTATAAACATTATACGTACTCACTGAAATTAAAAGAAGTATCTTAGATTTCCAGGATTAGAGGAGCTTGGTCACTTGTGTTATTCTTTTCTTTGAATAATGTCATGAAGTTCTGCCTTCTTCTGACCATCTTCAAAAACCAGTGAATCACTTAACTGCCTTCAATAAACATCAAGTTTGACATTAAAACTTTAAACTATACTACCTGCATAGTTTATGATATTATATTCCAGTCCTTTGTGCTAGGTGTAGATTTTACATCTGAAGGATATAAAATGTACAAGGGTAAAAAGTATATGAGCCGTGCATGTTGATGTCACACAAAGAGGAGATTTTGTTGTAGACCAACAGCAACTCTGAGACACTGAGAAGCCAAATCATGTTGGCACAGGCCATGAGCTAGACAAAGGATACAAAAAGGACAGCCTCTCCTCAAGCCTATGGGCAGCCACTAACTTTGCAAAAGCAAATTACAACAAAAAACTTATCTAAAGTCTAACATAAACTCCTCTGAATTAAACAGCTGTGATTCTCTGGTTCCAGACCTTTTGTTATAAAATGCAGTAAGATTATTTTTAAAAGTTCTGACTTAGAGGAAGTTCATGATCAGAAAAAGACAGCTACATTTATGCCATAAGTTGTTCTGTGTTTTCACTTGTGTATCTTTTTACTCTTGGCAGTGAAACTGGAAAGCCAGTAGAAGAACCTAACCTCATGAGTGAATGCTAGGAGTAATACAAGATATATGGGAAAAAAAAACCTAACCAAACACTATACCATGATGTCCTTATGCTATTCTTCTTCTAGTAAAACTATATTTTAATAGTTGATAGATTAAAATTCCTTGTTTGTAGTTTACTACAAGTAATTTGAGTCACTGATGAAATAATAAAGGTCAAACCTGAGTAATTAAGTAGCTAGCTACAGTAAGAGTAAATTAAAAACTTATTTTTGGTAGAAGAATCCTTTACTGCATCTGAATACTTTTAAACTTCCTCATCACATTAGTCCACATGTACATTTAGTCCCAATGAGAGTTTATTAGATAGACTTTGTTGTAATCTAGCAGGGAATGTCTTATAAAATTGCTGTTTAGTAACTGTTATCTAAATGGTATTTTAAATAGACTTTTGTGCTGTGTGACCAACAGAAACACATGATATTAACAACATGAGTCACTTTAACTTAATCTTACACACACTCCACACTAATAACAAATACACCAAGATCAATACTAATAAGTGAAGTTTAATTACTTTATTCTTGTCACAAATAATCTTGAGATCCTGGAGTTAAAAGCACTTAGGGCTATATCCAATAAAAGAAATAAAGCAGAATTTAGGTTTGTTTGTCAAAAGTTGTGCTATTGGGAGCCTGAAAAACTCTGATTAGATGCTCCCTGGCTCTGAAAGTAGAGATGCTATAACCCACAGCATCAAAACTGTCTGAAATCTCTGCATCTCTGTACGTAAAGCAGCATCCATACTGGAATTCCACAGCAGAATCGCTTTGGTGATGAAGGCAGCCTGGGAAA